CGCATTTCTGTGTAATTTCGCATGTGGTGTTGCATTATGTCCGGGATGATGCACGTCTTTTTATTTTTACCGTAGCTGTTTTGATATTGGAGTAAATGCTTATTTTCGAAACATCCCCATTTCTTTGAAATGGTTTCGTCCGTTTATGCAACTGTTACTGCGCTAATGACGACCAGTCGCGCTGTCCTGATACACCGCGAATGTGCGAGTGTTCCCTGTAGACAGTCCCGGGAGTCATTTTTTTGCACATTCCAGGAGCCAAACCAAAATACGTTCATGAACCAAGTCCAAAAAACCGAAACGTGAAAATCGGATGATCGGACCTGATGTACATTTCTCTTTCTATAGATTGTACACACAAAACACACATCTTTAGATAATCTGGCCATGGCAGGTTAAAAAAAAGTAACCCTGAATCATACTAGATTAGCGTAAATGCATGTTAATGCGTTCAAAACAAGAAAAAAATTGTTTCCGGGTATTAATCTCTTGAATCACGGCGCTGAATATTGACGCAAAAAATATTTCGGGCATCGCGCGCCCTTCCCGCGTCACGTGTAGGCATCTCGCATCTCTGATTGGTTGTTGCGTCTTAAGATGACTGAGCCGACGCGCGTTTAAACAATTTTTCTTTGTTCGATTTATCACACTTCACAGAGAATTGTCGCCAATGGCTACTTCTTTTTGTTGCAATATATAATACTTCACGGAGAATTGTCGCCTATGGCTTCTTGTTGTTTTTCACATGAAATGGAGATTTTATTAGCTATTTGTCTCCATCTAACTGCATCTAATTTCATCTCCAAGCATGAGTCATGTTTATAGACTGTTGATTCACATATGTTCCATGAAATGGGTTGTGGATGATGCATCTGTTGAATGCATAAAAAACAGGGTTTTCCACAGTGTCTATCATCACCTTCAGTTGGAGGAATTATGTTGTTATTTACAACTAAAGGTTATTACAATGTAATAGCAAACAAGACTTGGCAAGCAGAATTGGTGAGTCTAACATGAAAGAGATGAATTACAGTCAGTCAAAACACCCCACAAGGTAAGTATGGGTTTACTGAGGAATGAAAAAAAAATTCTGTGGCTGGAAAGAGAAACCATACCGTATTTATTCCAATAGCGTACGCATCTCTATTAACGTACGCACCCCCGATCTGGGGCCGATCGCAGGCCTTGCACTGGGAGCCGAAAGATTCAAATGAAAAACCCCATTAACGTACGCACCCCTTATTCAGAATTTTCCGTGGATCGCAAGGAAATTGAAATAAACAATAAGCTTTATAGACGTAGCCCTATGCTAGTGCTTGCTTAAAGGGATTTTTTTAAAGTGTCTGTGCAGTATTTTAGGTAGAATCCAACGTCAAGACGACAGTTAGCGCCACCAAATTTCACTTCCGGTAAGTATGTGAACAGGCAGGATAACATCCAAAGGTAAGTGATCGCAGCAGAACGTAGATGCCGGGGAAGATCATCAGGCACACAGCGCCGTGGAAAAGGTTTGCATTACATATCGCTACAGTGAAAAAATATTTCCTGTATATTGTTTCCCGGTATTAATCTCTTGAAACGCGGCGCTGAATATTGACGCAAAAATATTTCGTGCACCGCGCGCCATAGACTGTATGCAAATCCCGCGTCACGTGTCGGCATTTCGCATCTCTGATTGGTTGCTGCGTCAGCCGCCGGCGCTGCTGGCGGTAGACTTGAGCTGGCCGACGCGCGTGTAAACAATTTTTCTTTGTTCGATATCGGCGCTAAAATGCTATTTTCCACAACCACACGTCGATATTCTAGTGAAGAAATGCATAGTTTCAAGAATCTATGGGGTAAATATATGTTTCTAAGCGGATTTTTAGCGTTTTCGACGTGATTTTGTCGTCACTTAACCCGGAAGTGTGGACCGCGGCGTGGGTTTTCTTTTAATACCCACGCTAGATTTTAGCGTATTTTACCCTGCATTTTACCAATCAAAACAATAAACAACTCCCGCTTAAGAGAACCCTGTAACAATTTAGATCGCAGCAATTAAGTATTTGATCAAATTATTGTGGATGTGCTGGCATTTCAGCTGTATTATTCATCGGGAAAAGCGGCCAACTTACCGGTAACATGGCGGATGGTGCACCGAGTCAGCTTACGATACTTGTAAAAATTATATTTCTAAATAAATCATGCTACATCGTATTTTATTTTCTCATATCACACTTACTTACTCAAGGTATAAAATATGTCTTTATTTGAACAGGGACATTTTTAACCTCTTATTTGAAGTATAACATGAACTATTCTTCGGAGTGGTGCGTAACAAGTACTTCTGGACACATTGTGAGGCCGGCTCCCTTGCCGGCTCCGATCTCTTTCCGATTTTTTGGGGACAGAACCCCCTTTAACGTACGCACCCCGACTTTGGCCTTGGTCTGGAACACCTGCTTGCGACATGAAAAGTTTAAAAAGTGCGTACGCTATTGGAATAAATACGGTAGATGAGAACCAGTGGGGTTGCCTTTTAAAAGGGGGATGCTGAATACCTATTTTTCTTGAACCATCCTCCCATTTGTGACACATGCGCCACCAAGGAATAACCTAGAAAGTAGGACTGTTTTGCACTGGTACATTTTGATGGATGAGGCTTTGGATCCATCAAGTGGAGAGGAATGCTGACTCATCGGGAAAATGTTCCTAGCCAGTGTAAGTGTTCCTAGCCAGTGTAAGTGTTCCTAGCCAGTGTAAGTGTTCCTAGCCAGTGTAAGTGTTCCTAGCCAATGAAAGTTTTCCAAGCCAATGAAAGCATTCCCAGCCTGTGATAGTGTTGCTATCTGGCTGCAGATGTGTATCAAGCCAGAAGTGAAAGCGTTTCTATCAGGTACAGGTTTGTATCAGGCCAGAAGTGAATGTGGGGAAGGCAGATGGGGAGCCAGTTTGGAGCTGATAAGGATTGAAACATCAATAATGCTGGTGGAAAATGGAATTAGCTTAAATCTCCCTGCATACGGAATCCTAGGCTTCCCAAAATGTGGAACAGTACTCACTACTCATTCAACTCTCTTGCACTTAGGCCTACTAAAAATAAAAATCTTAAAGTCTTCAATTTTTTGGGGGGAATTTAAATGATGCTAATTTTTCAAATTTGGCATGTCAAATATCTTTAAGAACTGTTTATCTTATGACAGAAATAAAGATATTGTTACAGAAATGTGACAGGCTTTTTCAAATACACAATATACTTTAATAGTTTTAAAGAACACATGGCAACATATTAAATGTTGTGCCATTGAGAATCAAATCAATAATACCTGGTTGCAGGAAAACTCCAGAATTTGTTTGAATAAAAAGTTTCTCGTTGCCAGGCAAGGTTCACCCATGCAGGTTCAGGATCTCCCAAGAAACAATTTGGCGGGTAATTGGTGATCCCTATCTGGATCAGCAGGGCTGATTTTAGCTACTTGTATTTTCTGCTTGTCAGTCAGCAGGTCAGGCTCAGGTTGGCATGGAAATGAGAAGGGCTTGGATCAGCTATTACGCCATGGTTGACCAGAATCAACCACCCGCCACCTCTATGCACCAAAATGGCTCATTGGCTTTGTTATGGGGGGGCTGTAAATACGAGGAAACAAGAATATACTAGGGATGGAAGCAGTGAATAGTTGTTTTAAAGCCTTTATAGGGCAAATATCGCAAGGACTGCTGGTAAATCTGCCACATTTCTCTTCTATTGGAACACAAGTATGCATTACCAAAGTGCGTTTTTCCTATAAAAAGCCACTTAGTTCATCTGCCCTAAAGGTTTTACTGTGGCCATCACTTTGCTACAGGTCACGGCTGAAGTTCACTTCTGTGGCATTTTACCTCCCAACATAAAACACTTCCAGATGAAAGGGTGAGTGTACCAGGACCACCAGATTACATTTACAGCAGTGGGGGAAATGGGCAATGCCAAGGGCCTGTCTGCTGCACCCATCAGACCATTACAATGTGACGAATGAGTGTGGTTTTGGGAAGGGCTACCTTCTTGGCTCATTTTCTCATTTGTGGGACATTACAGTCTGTAACATTTCCGGACATTAGTTGGCAGGCCAGCACTATTTGTTGTGTGGTGCTCTGACAGAATATGAAGTAGGGCCTAGTCATGTACCTTTCCTTTCTATCTAGTACTAGTACTAGTATCTACATGTAATAAAGTTTTTCAATCCATTTATGACAGTGCAAACACAGTCCATAAGTTTCCATCACAAATGATTTTATGTGCATATTATACATTTTATGCTAAATGGATGTCCACATGAACATGTAAAATTTATGTAGTTTACTGACTTAATTTAGTCACTTTTCACTGCACAGGCTTGTTAAAGTTCAGAATGGTGCTTGACAAAGACAGGCCTTTGGACTTGTTTTGTTTTAATAGACTACCAGTATCCCAGTATTAATCATCAGCATAAACTGAACCATTAGAGTTTACAGCTTTCACTTTCAGTGTTTTCCACAGCTGTAGTAGACAACCAGTTTACATTGAATCTGACAGACCAGCATCAATTCTCATCTTACCTACTGCCTGGTAAATTATTTTCTACAGCAGATATTTGGCTTGGTTTGCACATTTTGTTGGAGAGTTCACTTGAGGAAAATAGGACAAAACCATGCCACTACAAGACAGCCAGCCAAAGGCCTGCTTGCAGATATCTGCCCCCTCCCCCCATACAGTTTACATTGGCCTGGTCTGATGCCCCCAGAGGCAGGTGTGTGTTGACAGAAGCTGTGTACACCATGGCTTCCATGTGGACCTGTTGTCAGACTGGTCCTTCCTGTGGGGCTGTACTGGGGGAAAGGCATTTCCAGGTGGAATTCAAAGGGAATGCCACAACAGAGACCAGACTACATTCATGTCTTAGTGCAGTTCTTTAATTGTCCAACTTGTTTCTTCGAAGGGCCTCTTTTGAAACATTCCTTACCAAAATTTTCCTCAGCAAGTCTTCTTTTGCAGTACAGCCTACACAATTTTTTTTTTCAGAAGAATGACAGCCAGTTACATGTACTGTACCTGTACCATGAGAAATACATGTTACTCTCATAACCTTCTCCCTGCTAGTGCTACCTATCATCATAACAAATACAAACTTGGTACCAAACAGCTACCATACCGTGCTGATGGTTAAATTTCCCTTGTATTGCAATACAAATTTGGTGCCACAAGACAACCTCAGCAGAAAGGTCAACCTTCAGCTTAATTGGGAAACTGTTGCCCAAGTGAGACGTTTAGCCAAATGGCTAAAGAATTTAAGGAAAAATGGTGTTCTGTGTTGAGTTTTGTATTTCATTGTCAATCCCTCGCAATTTAACAGCAGGAGATAAAGAAAACAAAGTGAATGAATTCAGTGTGCCAAAGGTCAAGTTGTAAAGCTCTTTCCAAAGCTGGACACTCCAACCATGTGGTACCAGAAGCTGCTCAAGCCTTATAATTAGCTGTCTGGGAATTTACAGGCCTGAACTTTGCATAGTTATGGGAGTTCACTTCACCCAGCTGACACCCGACACCCACACCAGCCCTGGTCTGATGGGCAGGGGGTTGTGTTACACTGTGACTGAGTGAAAACTGAGCCTGGAAATCTCACAAGACGGCATGAGATCTCAACAAATATGGGAGGTGGCTTATTGTGAGCAAATCAGAGTTTATACAAGACTCTCCTTAATATCCAGCTTTGAAACTCTCCTTAGTATCCTACTTTGAAACATTAATACTAACAGCCAAATTTGTGGTTAATGATTTTTCAACTGACAGTATTTTTTTTAAATGTTATTTTCCCTGTGTCAAATACTTTCAGGTACAAAGATATTGGTAATAACATTACTAGTATTTTGTATATTACAGTTCATTTTAGGTGATACAAAAGGAATGTTTAAAAAATGTCCAAAAGTCAGTTGCTCTTTGACTTATTGTATACACAGCTAACTACATGTACTTTACAAGTTAAAATATACATGTGTAGCGCAAATTGTCTCAGTCAATATACTGCACCTTGTCGTCCAAGCAATGATTGAAAATAGGTTATACTACTTACATGACAGAAGCAATATATTGTTATGTCTACCTACAAGAATTCAGTCTTAACTGGGCACTTCACTCTGTCTCCTTCAGTTCAGGCATAGAAAATGAGTTCTGGGATCTGACCACCCTGCACTCCTGTCCCGTTGGTGCTCTCCGATGAACACTGGAACTGGAATGTGACATTCCCAAGGGTGATCTCGCTGACCCCCTCCTGACCAAAATAGCTCAGCTCTGCCCCGTCCAGGATTGCACTTGCAGTGTAGAAAGTGTCTGGATCGATCTGCACAGGGTGTTTGAACCACACAGGGAAGGTGTTGCTTGAACCATCTGAGAAAAACTTTACAGTGTTCTCTGACAGCACCTTCCCAGATTGCTTGATTTCTATTTTGACTGTGTAGTCTGCAGCCCCAGAGCTCGAGCCATACAAACCAAAGCCTGCCATAAAGATGCGCTTGTCCACTGCAAATTGTATACTGTCACACCTGCCCCTGTATCGCCACTGGTTGCTGCGGTAGGCAGAGGACTGGAACCGGTGACACCTCTCAGGCTTCATACCGTTCCGAGGCACTAAGGGGAAGTCTAGCACAGGCTTGTTCCTGGCTGTGTAGTAGAGGAAGATGTCCGCAGTCTCCTGTAGTGTGAGGATCCCGGACTGAGCAGCACCGTTTGCGTACTCCTCCAGACTCATGGCAGGCACACGGATCAAGTACAGTGCCCGGCCCAGCACACGCCGCTTGTTGTTGGCATTTGGCTGTAAGTTCTGTCTCCTGCACTCTGTCTCTGCCCAGCGCGCAGCTGCATCAAATATTACAATCTCCTTGGCGTTCAGGCTTTCTCTTCCCAGCACAGTTTCCAGTGTCTCATAGTCTATCTCCGTGAAGCCCTCAGAGTTGAGGGCCAGCTCAGCTTGTGCGTCGATGACCTGCCAGCACCTCTGCATGAGTTCAGGCTCCTCGAACAGACGGCTCTGGGAGAGGAGGACGCAGGCGTTCCTGGCACTCAGGCTTGTCTCCAAGAAGGTGACGCAAGCCTTAGCCAGGTGTGGCACGATGTACTTCTTGGCAGAATAGAGGGTGGCCAAAACCGTGTCAGGCTCTAGGTCAATCTCATCACAGTAGAGATACCTACAACATAAAATAGTGGTTTTGAGAGGGCAAAACAGAATAATAACACAAATTGGTGTTGTCTTACTGTTTCACATTTTATGTTTTCTAAGACTTGGATTGACACAATAACAACAACAGATTGCAGTCAACAATTAAAGGACAACACCTTTAATTGTTTTATATACATACACTCACGAGTCACGACACGACATACATATGCTGGTGAGAAAGTCTACTCACTTGAGCATTGCTAGAAAGGCTTGTGGCTCCACATCGGGAATTTCAATGTCGGTCTTGTTTTCCGCCAGTCCTCCGAAGAACATGGCGTAGAAGACGGTGCTGCCGGTAGCCAGGACGTACTTGTGCGCCGGGATCCGCTTGGCGGCCTTGGGCGGCCCGACCAAGAAGTGAACGTCACTCATAAGTTCGTTGTTGAACATGAGCCCGTTGCGCTCCCGCACGGTCGGCTTCAGGCCCTGCCAATTGGGTACGTCTGTGGTGACGGGGGGAGCCGGGGCGACTGCCGCCGCGCTGCTCTGCTTCTGCTGGAAGGTGGGGACGGCCTCCTGCTGCTGAGCCCGCGGGACCGCCCGGACCTGGACCGGCTGCTGCTGCTGTACCACCCCGCCTCCGCCCGGCTTGCCTGGGATCTGCTCGTTGCTCTCCTCCCGTCGATCGCCCATGTTGACTCTGAGGCAGTGCGATAGGAGATGAATTACTTTCATGCTTCCTTCGGCAGAACATCTAAACTACTGTCTACTACGGAAACCATTCCCTCCGCGCACCATGTACCGATCAGTCTCGGCAGCTACCCAGAGCTCTGGCAGCGCAGCTACCATAGGCGAGGAAAAACCTGGACTGATGTGCGTTACTTATATGCCTTGTACAGTAACAGTGGTAGAAATATCCGTGCGTGATACCCAAATAGGGAGGTGACGGTCAGAATTTCTACCAGATCACACCGGCTTCGTGTGTCTACGTTTCGCTTCGCGGGAAGACGGAAAAATGAAATGAGCTCTCGATGCAACAGCGTAATAATTTCTTAGCCAGTCTGTCACACACCGACGTTACTACAAATTTATACAAAGGCCGAAAGGGGATCGCCCCATACCCGGCGAATTTGCATTCATGTCGCGTCTTCCTCTACTTGTCATAAACGCGACGAGTTTCTGCAGCTTATCGCTGTGTTCCCATTCCGGCAGTGCCGGGGAACATCGACTGAACCTTAGGTTGGACTTTACTGACGTCTGCTGCGGCAAAAAAAAACTGAGACATCGATGAGAAACTTGAAGACAAACGACTACGAACGCAGCTCGGCGTACCTACCAATTTTCTCAATTTCCCGGCTTCCTGCACTAGTATTCACCCACCCATGGGAAGGAGTAGTATCTTCGCTACGTTCAAAGTTAACAAGGCTTAGTTAATTGGTGGTTTCGATCCTAGGGTACGTGGAATATTACCTAGAAGAATGTCCAGCTCCGAAAATGACTTGCCCCGGGCGCCATATTTGGCTTCCCACTTACTCCCATGATCCAACGCGTGGGGTGGGACGTACCACTTGGGAAATGGGGTATTTGTTTACAAACAAACCCACAGCAGGGGGAACAAAAAGTTTTATAAAACTTTTTTTTTTTCAGAAGAAAAACAGCAAGCATACAAAACTTTCATTTCACAAAAGTGATATGAGTATAACAGTGCTGAAATAAAAGTTTGCTCAGATAGATAATGTTTAGAAGCATAATTTTCCACAGACCAGATTATAGAGAATGATTTTATGCATAATTCCCAAATCCCTGGCAATATAAAGGATGAAATTTCATTTGTATGCAATAACTACACCATTGCCTGTACACAGTGGACAAAAGATTTCATAAAAAACATAACATATTTCCCCAGACCCATGTCTGTACATCCACCGGTTTGCTCACAAGCTGGAGTTTGGGGAGCGGACCCACGAGGTGTCGATGACAGCCCTGCGCCTGGTGTCGAGGATGAAGCGGGACTGGATGCACGGTGGCAGGCGGCCCTCAGGGCTGTGTGGAGCAGGTAGGGCTTTTTTTTTTTGTTTGTGTATATCAGGTAGAGAGCCCTGCAAAGCAACAAACCAGGCCAAGTTAATTTCTTGGTTGCAAAAACCATTGTTTTGGTTGAAAAATATCAGTTCTACCTGTGAAGCAGTAAACTGAAGAACTGTCAAGATATTTGTATCTTATGTTGTTGAAAGATTTTGATTGAATAGCATATTTTGTAAAGTTTGGTTGGAGAACCTCACCATTGTTTTAACATTACTCCTGTAGATAGAGAAATAAAAAAAGCCAATGCCTAATAATGAGTTGCCTCTCCATGTCTTCCTTGGCAGCGCTGTTGGTGTCTGCTCGCCTGCATGACTTCCACAGAACTCAGAAGGAGATCATCAAAGTGGTGAAAGTCTGCGAAGCAACCCTAAGGAAAAGGTAACATTTTCTCATGCAGTCTGTAACTCATCATCATGAATAGATTCTCATAATGTTTACTTCACCCTAAGAAGTTAAGTTTTGTTGTTGGTGTATGTATTTCTGATATTGTGTGATGGAGGGGTGAAGTCTGCCATCTCTGACTGCCATGTTTGTTAACTACAATGTGGTGGATTTTGCCAGACTTGTAAAGAAACTGCACATTTTTCCCATGGCCCACAGATTGACAGAGTTTGAAGACACGCCCTCCAGTAAGTTAACCATCGACGAATTCCACAAGATTGACCTTGAGGAGGAGCAGGACCCACCGTCCTTCAAACACAGCAGGAGGAAGGCCAGGCAACAGGTGGGCAGCAGCAGCTCATTGATTGATTAATTGATTGATGAATAGATTGTTAGATTGATTCATTGATGTTACATATGTATGTTTTTGATGTGAAGAAAAGAGTTTGTGTGTGTGTGTGTGCATGCATGCATGTATAAACCCTGTTGTGGTATACAGTTGGAAGAGCAGTTAGACAAGGAGATTGAGGGGGAGCTGACCAGTCTGGAGGTGGAGATTGAGAAGGAGCTGGAGAAGGAGCGGGAGAAACGGATGAACAGGATGAAAAGCCTGCTGGGGGTCAAAGGTAACATATCTCTATCTCTTCCTGATAATTTGTAATAGATGTTCTGGACCTTTCTAAAGACCCTATTTTTCCAACTTATTAAGAGTAAGGTAAATCAGACAAAGTTGTCATGTTTCATGCTCCTTTCTACAAGATGTACATGTGTATACATATATATTAGAACGTGTATACATATATATATATATATTAGAGCGGAAATACCTAAAAGATGCAGGAATGTGAGGCAAAATCACAAGTTGGAAAAAGTTGCTTGAATAAGTACTCTTGGCTGTGACTACAGCAGTAGGGAGAAGGTGTGTAGGTAAATTATTGGCCTGTCAGTCTGTAAAGGACACCTTGACACTGAGGAATTGAGCAGGGCTACAGTGATAAGGCCGGGACAGTCCATCTGACCCGCTCGTACTTACCTCCTTTGTGGCTCCCTGTGATCTTGTATTTGTACATCGTAAATCAAGCGTGATTTAGTTGCTATCCACAAGGATCCTTCAGCTGCCTGTAGGATGGATTAGATTCATCTGTGGTGCACTTAACTATCTCATCCCTGTCTGAGAGAACCCTCCATCATGGCAATGGTGCAGGGGTGTGCATCTGTCTTACTTGCAGGAGGCTCAGAGTTTCAAAGTAAAGTGAGTGCAGTCGATCCTGTCCATGCAAGACATGAGGGCTGCATGTAATACTCATCAAATCCTGGACAAACTAAGGTGTTAGCAGCCTTACCATTGCTGTTTTCGAGCCGGCAAACAAAAAACTGTGTACAATAAGATTGACAAACAATAAGAAAAGAGCATACATGTATATGATAAGCACACACAAAGAAAACAAACTTGTAAGCCTGGTAAGGAAGCTACATGTATATATGTTTCCTCACAACGACAGACAGTGACATTGGAGAGACACGCTCCCCCATGCCACCCCTGGAGGGGCAGGAAGATGGGATATCCTCACCTGGAACCCCCTGCAGCAGAGTGGACTCTCCCAGTGTTGTGCCTAGCAGTAGCACCTCAACAGGTGAGAGAAGACCTTGCTGTAGATTTCCTTGTGGATTGTTTGATTGCTAAATAATGTAGGAGGTTATTACATTTTGGAGAAAGTTTCAGGCATGTGGTTAATTTCTTTAACCATACTACGTATCCATGCTGTAGTTTATGTTCATAACCATTAGAACATAGGCAGAACATAGGCCTATCCCCCTTGCAGCTTCCTTTCCAAATGCACATTACCAGTAGTTGTATAGAAATTGTTCACTTACTGTACTGTACTAGTACATATATATATTTCAGAGATTACTCAAATCTGCTGTTCTGTCCCAGGAAAACCCCCTGAACAGCAGCTGGCAGAACAGCAGCTGTCAGAGGAGGATGTGATGGGGAAAATCCTGTCCCCCTTCGCTGGGATCACGCCCGCCCTCGGACCTGAACCCACACCTGAGAGTCTCGGCATCAAGGACTCGCTCAACGAGTGTCTCAAGGTGGCCTCAGAGAAAGGTGGGTATATGTATTAGAATAAATGTTTTTACATTTTACCGTACAGTAATTTTTTTAAAAGTACTTTTTTGTGTATGAGTCAACATGAAATACCTTGAAGTATCAATTTCCAAGAAAATGTGCAGCCTGATATGATTAAGTTGTCATTACTGTGTTGCTGTTGGTTGATGTTTGTGTTGTGTAGAAGAAGGCACAGAAGATGAAGATGGGGAGAAGGAAGAGGGAGGAGAACTGGACCTGACTGGCATCAATGATGAGGAACTAGACTGGGTAAAGAATTTTCTTATGTAAATGTTACTAGAATTTGATGTATGATGGTTTTGAAATTGAAAACCCATTGAGAAATGCCAGTACCAGTAAGTAAATTTTCAATTTGTATTGTGCAACATAAATAACTTGCACCATGACCTAGATACATCATTGCTAGTAATTGAAACATATAGCATTATTAGGAACAGCTGTTCTGTAGATGTTTCTTGTTTTACACTTTGCCTTTTTATGCCCCTTGTTTAAAACATTTTCTAACCGCCAACACCTGATAAGCAACTGATGCATAATGTTTTTAATGTTTTACAGTTCTTGTTAAATGACGAAGAGGTTAGAATAAAAACAGAGATCTGGACGCAGGCCAACGCAGACTATATCCAGAAAATGAAAGGTTAGAGGATTTTATTCTTTGCATTATGTACAGTAGTGCTTGGGCATAAAATCACCTGTTAAATGTACAAAATGTACATGTACAAGGCATCATTGGTACATATCATCTCTAAAGGTATATTGGCTGCCAACCTGAGCTGACTTTCTTTGGTCTGTTAGCATACTGCCAACTTGTGTGTCTGTCACTTACAGTGTAACATGATGTTCTACATTTCAGAGAAAGAGGAAAAAGAAGCTTTAGAAAAGGAACAGGGAATTCATAAACCTGAGCAGAAAAAGGTGAGGTTTCTTAAGTTAAGCATCATTGTACAGATGACGTCTGTCATTGCACAGATTAAATCTAGATGAGACGTAAAATCTGGTGAGAGTGTTTAAAAAATGATACTTTTGCTGCCTAGCATTGTATTGTACATGTATAACATGTGTACATGGTTGAGGTGTGGCTCTGAAATACAGCAATCCTGTAGCGTGCATTTTTTGAAACCAGTAACAGTTAAGTCAGGACTCAAACCCCTGACCTTGTGGTCTAGAAACAGGACAGCTGAGTGCAATGCACTAATCCTTCTATGCTCATCTGACCCCTGACTTCACAGAAAAGAAAGCCCAAGAAGAAGCAGCCCATCCAGGCCAGCACAGCCGGAGAGGCCATTGAGAAAATGTTACAGGAGAAAAAACTCCAGCAAAATCAACTATGACGTTCTCAGGGACCTGAACAAGGAGACGGAGACCAAAAAGCCATTAGACATCACTCCCAGCCGACTCACACCCAGCAGGCTTCAGCCACCACTCATATCCCCCACTGTCCCAGCCAGGACAGCTCTGAGATTACCTACAGTTGGTAGCAGTAAGAGGTAAGAAAAATTCAGCAAAGGGACAAGATGAAACGGAGAGCTTGAAGGAAAAATTGACTGTTTTCACTTCCTTAGGCTGTGCGAACCAAAGTGCCCCCCTGATCACCCACCAGTTGACATCCTGCAAAGGCTTACATGGATTAGACTGTTTCTTGGCACTGTGTTTTGAATTCATGATCCGAAGTACATGAATACATTAACATGATATTTTGTTGTCCTTCTATTTCCACAGACCTCACGTGAAAGTTGAGGAAACAGAAGAAGTGAGTTCTTTTCTCTCTTCTTGGGATATTTTCTGAAGTGCATATTGTTCAGCCAGATGAGTTTACGACAGTACCTCAAGACACTATTAATAGTTTGTATAGCTGATGTCATTGTTGTGACACTCCTGCATTGGCCTTTGTTTGTCTAGAAACTTGTTGGTAAGAGACCAAAGCTGGAGGGTTCGGAGGTGGTGGTGGAGACGGGACCAGTGGAGTATGCAAAGGTGGAACCAGGTATGCCCTTATAAACAAACAGTCCATGTGGGCCATTATGAAAAAGCCAGGTATGCCCTCATCAACTCAAAAAGCAAATAAACAATTCAGATGTGCCCTTATGAACAAACTGAGTATACAAACTGAACAGCAGATGTACATGACAGAAAAACTGACGTTGGTCTACTTGCAAATAACCGTGTACAAAATTTGTGTTTGTTTCAGCAGAAATCAGCAGGGAGAGTGTTAAAGATGTGATGTAATATCTTCCAGGTACCGTGGACCATGAGGAGGAGGCTGAGGAGGATTACTATGAGGAGGATGAACCAATCAGTGCAGCTCAGCTCATGGGAAGGACAGGTCTGTACCAGATCTCCTCACTTAGAGCTACACACTGTCACTGTGTGTTATTTGGCCAGTTCATTCACGATTACCGGGTATGCCTCATGTGGAGCATTTATATGCTGGATCACTACAGTACTTTCCTCCTAAAGTGCACTAAATGGCTAGCATTGCAGCCTTTGATTATATTAACTTCATGTACCTAATGATGTTTTAGTGCCTGTGTTCTTACTTCTCCAGTGTTACTTGGTGAAATCATTTCAAGCTTTATGGTAACATGTTGTTGCAGAAGTTGACCATGAAGACTATGATGATGGCTATGACATGGATGAGTATGATTGACAGCTGTCAGCACCAAGGGGAGGGACCAAACTGCCAGCATTCTTCCTCATACAGTAATAGTTAAGGAGGATTGGAATGTCTTTTTTATGTTCTCATTCCTAAACAGTATGGTCTGTGTCTAATGTTTGAAAGACTACCTCCATGAAAGAACAAAGTGTACAAATTAATTTATTTCTTACTTGTTATGAAAGATGCAATGTGTGTTGTTCCATGCAAGCAGGACTCAATATCAGTCAACTTTTAGTGCTTGTTTTAGGAGTAACCTTTTATTACCACAGTACACATGAACTTTACAGTAAAGGGAAATAAATATTTCCAATTTCTGAAAACCAACAGCTTCTCACGGCTATCCCAGGAACAGCAATATAAGAAGCAATTTGGTGCTTTCAAAATACTTAGTACCCCCTGCCTGTTTATTTTTACACACTTGTAGTTTAACTTATCATTGTTTTGTACATGCCATCCAGCCCTGTGGAACTTTTTCTTGTACAATCCCTATGACATCGAAGGCACGTTTTCCAAATTTATTTACACACAGTGTTTGGAGATGTACAGAAGTTGAGAACTGTGTTGTTCCCTTATAGATTGTCTGTCTGTGTCAAAGCTGATTTGAGACTGTTGTAAAGATTAAATAAAACTTTTGTGACGTATTTGAAACAGAAATGTTCAGGATGTTTCAAAGTCTCCAGGGATGCTCCAAGAAGGACACTGGGGATTGCAAATATTTTATTCTGTCACTGTTTTTTTTTTAATTTTATTTATTATGGTGATATTTTTTTTACCAAGGCTCCCATACTGTTACGTCACCGAGTAAATATTTCACTTTTAAGGAACTGCTTCTTTTCCTGGTAATCTCTAATCCTGATTATTTCTAATACAGTAAAACACGGATATGAATTACAGAAATGTTGGAATACTTTGTGTTCCTTTGTCTTGTCTTAATCTTCTCAATGTAAGATACTGTTACACAACATCAAGAAGCAGTTTTTAACAAAACCTTTTGTAATCTACTGTCTCCTCTTCCTGGCCTTGCTCCCCTCTCCTGTCTTCTTTGTCTCGGATGCCCTTTTACATCCTCCCTTCTCTCTCTGGCGGCCGGCGTGCCTGACTGTTCTGTCACAGATGGTGTTGCACCACGATGTGACAGCTGACCAGATATCCTCACAGACCTTGTCTGCTGTACGACCGGGAATGTTGATGCCGTGGTCTCCTCCCTCCACCCAGTGCACCTTCGCTGCCTCTCCCATGGGGCAGACATGTTCTCTGGAAAACATTCAGATATTACTCTAGTGGTGCCAAGAGATCCACTCACAGATCTGTGTAAAGAAAGGAAAATTAGTATCTTTCTTTACACAGATCTGTGAGTGGATCTCTTGGCACCACTAGAGTAATATCTGAATGTTTTCCAGAGAACATGTCTGCAGTAATCAGGGTTCAAATTCATGTTTGGGAATAGGTGCACCGATGTACTGACACTTAAATGTCAAACGACACTGTAAACTAGTGTACACTAGTACCTTTACATACATACAACAAAAATAACTAGATGCACCCATAATGAAAATTAGCTGGAAGAAACCTTGCTACAGATACAGCAAAGGAATTTGCATTTGCTGGCATAAGTGTGAGGAAAGGGGACACTGAGTAACCCACCTGAAGGAGCCTTCTGGGCACATGGGATCTTTGGTACCACTGATGAACAAGGTTGGCAGCCTGAGTCTGAAGATGTCTGTGCGAAGCTTGTCAGGCTGTCCTGGAGGGTGGAGGGGGTACGACAGGCAGATCACCCCCGTCACAAACCCGGAGGTGTCAGCGAGCGCCACACCTGGGGGGAGGAATATCCAGACTACAGGTGACACGTGGTTGTGGATAAATTAGCAGGTACCTAGCAGCAGGTAATCCAGCCCAGCAAACAACAAGAAGCTACAAAACAAGTTTTAGTGCCACAAACGTTTCAATATAGTTACTTGATAAATAGTTTTTAGAGTGGAACTCATTTTGCAAGAAATGTTACCGGTGCTGACTGATGCACACATACCTGCAGCAGCCCTGGAACCCATGGAACGACCTGTGAAAAGAAAGGAACTGTCACTGAACATTTTTCCCTGTAACTAAAAGAAATTCAGTATCAAAAGGCTGCAACATAAGGAAGTTAATATGACTACAGGTCATCAACAAGGTCAAACAAATAACAAGCAAAGGATCAAGAAATAGCAGAGGACAAATAGAAATTGTGTACCTGTATGAAGGCAAAAATTCTACTTATATATAATAGAAAAGTGTTGAGGTCACTAACCTCCAACAAAGCAACCCTGTAATGTAGGAGCAATCTCCTTCCGTAGATAGTCCTGAAAGATAACACGGACGATCTGTAATGACGGTAAAACTTCACGCAATGGTAGTAAAATCGTGCACTATCACTGACTGCATCTAAAATTAAGAACACCAGATCTGCATACAGAAACCCACCAGTACTGTAGTAAAGGCCCTGATCCTGTAGCTGATGTTAAGTGCTTTACAGGTGAACCGGAGGCACAGGTAACCGTGACGTGCTAACACCTGAGTCAAGCCCTGCAGGTGGGCATGGTCCATGTCTCCTCCAGCTCCATGAGTCAGGATCACTCCGTACCTGGGAGGCCCCCTATTGGGTAAGGTCAGTACTGCAGGAAGGTGCTTTTTGTTGAAAGGGATTTGAACCTGAAAAGTAAACCGAAAAATAGCGTAACCCACACTTGTTGTTCGACCCATAATGTATCTATATATTGATAACGGTACAACACGGCAGCATTGTTGCTTAGATTGGTTCACATTTACTTTACAACATGAAAGTTTTCAGCATAGAGAGTGCTGAGGAAGATGGCAGTTACGTGCAAGTCAAGCAAGACAGTAAAAGTCAAGTTTTGGGTTTTACATTATTTCGGTACATGGGTTAACACGTCAATATCCCTTATAACGTAAAGTCTCAGGCTAGGTCTATCCAAGGAGCTTATAGGGAGGCTATAAGGTATGACTTCCTAGGTCTATCGCGTATCGACGTGCTCCTATGTAACGTTACATGTATAAACAAGAACCTGACCAAAATTAACGTTACCTCTTCAGGCTCAGCTATCTCCGCAGTTGGGTCAGACATCGCGAATGAACCCATCCGATTGAAGAGTTCTATGTCGTCATCCTGGCTGCATAAGTGAGTCAACAGACTCATAGCATCAACTGACTCCTTCAAGGTATAAACTAGTCGCTGTCTTCTGTGGGTCGTGTTGTTGTGTTTCCCGCCATAAGTATGACCTTTGGCCTAACGCGGAAGTGAAAGTGCTCACGTGACTGGAGTTCGGCGAGAGGTTGAGTCAGTAGGCTCAGTGTATTGTAAATAAGAGGTGCGCACTTTGTTTGCTTCCTCTTTGTTCCCCGCTGTTTGATTAGCCTGATAAACTCTGCCTGCTCGTGTGTACACTCTTAAACTTCAGATAGCTGCAACTGCTGTTCTCCTAACTACCAGGGAACGGAGGAGGAAGCCCAGTTCTGTAAAAAAATTAGTAGGACCGAAACTTAATACAAAAACATCTTTTACTTTGTTTCATCACTTCAGTAGTTTCGGTCGCGTCTGGCTGTTGTGTCAGTTCCTCTTAATCCCGGTGCTTTCTCCCGCCCATTTTCTCCACAGGAGCAACAGGAGAATTCGAAGCCGAGATGATGATCACCGTGGTTGTGCTGTCGCTGGTCGGCGCCACCCTCGCCCTGCCACCGAGGGATGGAGGGAACCACTGGGCGGTGGTGGTAGCGGGGTCCAACGGATGGGGGAACTACAGGCACCAGGTATTACATTACACACCGTCAGGAAGATCTGAGTTGTATCTCTAGGCAGGTGGCTTTTATTTAGCGTCTTAAAATGGTGCAGTCTTTGTCTGCTACTGCCACCTTGGCTCTGGTCCTAAAGAGACCTCCTTGTTGTTGTCCCGTATGGGAGTGTGGTCTACCATTTGGCCTACAATTTGGAGGACGTCAAAATATTGTAGAAAGACACACAAAAACAAGTGGAAGCCATACATCTGCCTGGAGATAAAGAAACTTCAGGCCCACTAATTTGCATGACAGACTGTGACAAGACCAGAGAGATTTATATCTAGTTACTAAGTTAGTAGATGTGGGTTCCTTGTAGACAAGGGGGTTGCTTGTAAGAAATATAAACTTGATATAAAAGTATGTATTTTACAACTAACAAAATACCTGTTTTGAGGGTCCTTCTGACAGGGCCTCATGGTGTCATTACACACACACTCATGATCTCATGAGTGTGTGAGGAAATGTATTGTGTAGCTTAATGTGCACTTGTGTTGTGCAATGACTTGCAAAATGTTGTATCACACCTATGTCTCAGGTTTGTTGACTTTGTACAAAAGGGAAAGTTCTTTTACTTCTTCACAGTCAGTTCCACAGTGTGCAGACTCTCATATATCTCTTATTATCACCATAGACAGTGCAAGTTTGCCTATCTGGTCCTGCACAGCTCAGGTAGTGACGAGTGTCTCATGATCGTCATGGGATATTTTTGGGCAAGGTGTGCCAATATTGGACTGTACCATTAGTGACAGGTATAACAGTCTACTGACCAGTTGGATGTTTTTAGCGAGTACGGAATTCAACAACTATAACTGGACACACTCTCATGCGTAATGAAAGTTTGCAGTTTAGATTTTGTATTCAGATAATGATTTCCTGCTGCAAGCGGTTCTGAATCAGATTTTCCTGTCTAACTGTCAGCTGGCACATTTCCAGCCGGATCCCAGCCATTACTTAGTATGCCAGTACTGGCTGTTCAATCTTGTTCCTTTGAGTTTTAGGATATATGGAATAGAAGAAAACTTAGGGCTTTAGAAATAGAAGTTCATGACTTCGTGATTTCATTTCTGGTTACATGGCATGGGGTATTGGTTGGTGTCAGAAAAGCAGTTCAGAGTAAGTATTAAATAAATGAACTAAATTAAAACGGGGACCAGGTGATTTTGTGATATTGGTTTCCTGGGTACTGAAGAGGAAGTGATAACATGATGGTCACATGACATATACATTTTGATGTCGGTAGCTGGCGAAATATTTTTATGAAACATTTCCAGAAAGTGAATATTTTTTTAGCCTTTTGGTTGACAAAAGCCACGGAAAAACAACCCAGTGAACGAATTAACCTCTCAGTTAACACACTGTTAAGGGACACAAATCTATTAACCCTCAAAATGTCAAAGTCAGTAGGCTTCATTAAGAACCCGGAGGGTTGAATGGAGCACAGAATGCTGAAGTGAAGCTCCAGGGTTATCAGGAGTGTGTAAACGGTATCTCAGAGTTGTGTGCACAGTGTCGAGGGCGATAACCCTGGAGTGGTGAGTCAGCTCACCTGTCTGCAATCACCTGGCGGGCATGTCAAGTCCTTTGTTTGCCTGGAGTCACGAGGGGAGTTGCATCATGCATCTGCTGTCGTCCTCTTTGTCTAATTGTTGTATGATAGTCATATGACTTGTTTCACTTCTACTTCTATACTTCTGTCATTGGGACAATTTATACTGGACTGGTTGAGCACTTGTTACTTTTATATGAAAAAGGATAATAGTTCAAGTCAATGTTTTAAAGAAGTTTTAAATAAATATATAAAAACAAAACAGCTTGTTGCAAATGTCTGGTTGTGAATACTGTCACATTGGTGCAAGAAAGAATTTTAGAATTAGAGACCCCTAGCAGCTGTTGTCAAACTGCAGTCTTTGGTCATCCAGTGAAAAGAGCATCTTAAAATTGCAAGATACAAGTTAAAGCCACACATCTGTTTGGAACTTAACTGCTGTACCATTTTGTTGTTGCCATGGTTACAGGCCGATGCCTGCCACGCCTACCAGATCCTCCACCGTAACGGCATCCCGGATGACAGGATCATCGTCATGATGTATGATGATATCGCTAACAACGAGGAGTGAGTTCAACTGTTTTTACGCTGTTCTTCACTTTTGTACATATTTTCATTTGTTTCGGACATTTCTGAGTTGTGTTGTGTATCCAGATGCAGACCCATTTATTGTTTTTATGCCTCAAGAATAATTAAGTACAAAAATGTACTTCATCATTACTGGTGCTACATTTAATCAAGGAGGTCATTGATGAAAAGCCTGCAACTTATGATAAAATACCAAATGAATACTCCACAAAGTAGGACTTCAGCTTGATTTTGCATGTAATTTTGGTGCATCCAACTATGGAATTAGTCACCCTTTTCATGTGTTCTCCAGAAATCCCACCCCTGGTATCATCATCAACAGGCCCAATGGCACAGATGTGTACAAGGGGGTTCCCAAGGACTACAACAAGGAGGTATGTTATTTCATGCAATTGCCAGAATTAATTGACTTCATTAACACTATGTCTAAGTTCATTTTCTAGTGGAACATTTCCCCTGGAGCTTGGTTAATGCTGCCATGTCCAGGTAAGGGTAATGATTTATATCTTCTGACATGTTTGTGACGCTGTTTTAGGATGTGACTCCAGACAACTTCCTGAATGTTCTGAAGGGAAACAAGGAGGCCATGGCGGGGATTGGGAGTGGGAAGGTTCTTCAGAGGTGAGATCTGTGTATGAAGGTGTGTGTGTTGATGTGTATGAAAAACAAGGAGTAATAGCAGTTTCCAGTACATGTATTTTGAACACTTAAATCAAGTATGAAAATAATAAATATATTAACGGAGAGTTATAATCGATACTCAAACACCTTGAAATGTGACTTAAGATCTAACAAGACGTCATCTAAAAAATTGTGCTTTTCTTGATGCATTGTAGTTGATGATATTCTTTCTTGGGCTAGATCAAAAGTTCACATTGCTATGAAGTTAGATGGAAGGGGAAAACCTTGTTGAAGTTCACCCCACAATCAGACCCTTATAATGAGAAGTTTCTATGTCTCTTTCCAGTGGACCAGAAGACAACGTATTTGTGTTTTTCACTGACCACGGAGCACCCAACCTGATAGCTTTTCCTGAGTCAGAGGTATCACAGTCATCTTACTTAAAACACTTGTAATTCTGGGAAAAGCCTGATAGATACCAGTTAAGTCATAAAGCTTAACTAGTATTCCATTGGAAAATTTGCCTGGCATTTGAGCACAAAACTGTAGAACCTGGAAGGGTAGTTACTCTTCAAAAATGAGACCACATGCTGTTTTTACCTGTTGCTAATTAACTAAACACTTCAACTACAAATTCAGCTTTATCAATTGCACTTTTGTGTCTCTTACAGCTCCATGCGAAGGACATGATGGAAGCTCTGCAGTACATGCACGACAACAACATGTATAAGAACGTGAGTGTTGTCTCAGCCACTTCGCATAGATTCATGGTGTATCTGTGCCATTGAATGTTTTTACAATGAGAAAGTAGTCCCATTGTGGGCAAAATGTCTCAAGCACTTATTTTACTGAAGCACAAGGGAAAAATAAATGGAAGTTTTTAGCTATCATGATGTAATTGAAGATCATGGAATGACATTCCCCTCCCCTACAGCTGGTGTTCTATCTGGAGGCCTGTGAGTCTGGTTCCATGTTCCACAGACACCTACCTGACAACATCAACAGTAAGTCTCACATCTCCAGGCTTTGCTGGATGTTAGATGTTAGAGTCAGATGGTTACACCCCTATGTCCCTATTTCCTGACACCCACATATTCCAACACCCCTATGTTTCATGCAACTCAACGTATGTTTCAACAACCCTAAAAAGTATTTGAACATAGGGTATCAGAACGTAGGGATGTCCTCAAGATAGCTACTGGGGTGTAGTCGTGTCAAAATGGAGTCAAAATTATATATTGTTCCTTCTTTTATCTTTTTGTATAGTTTTTGCGACCAGTGCAGCCAATCCCCACGAGTCGTCCTACGCCTGTTATTTTGATGAGAAACGGGAGACATACCTCGGCGACCTGTACAGTGTGAAGTGGATGGAGGACTCGGACACGGTAACCAGATTCTACCTGTATTCTAATGATTATGTTACATTTAGTACAATGTATTAGAGTAGTAAAATGTATTACAATTAAGTAATTGGTCTAAATTGAGAGTGAATTACCATCTTGCAGAAAGTCTGGTTGAATGTGACTGTGAAGTTGAAGGTGACTGCATAGTTCAAGGTGACTGGTTGAAGGTGACTGTATTTGTTGTTAACAGGAGGACCTGAGGAAGGAAACTCTGCAGCGACAGTTCAAGATTGTGCGACGAGAGACAAACACTAGCCATGTGCGCGAGTATGGAGACATGGTGAGAGAAATAATGGAAACAATCTGAGTTTAGGAACTCCAAATTTGTGTAGATACATTGCATGTAAGCTGAGAATTCTGAGAAAGCAAAGATAAAAAAATTGACATGCTAGAAATTATGCCGTGTGTTGTTTCTTTCCAGAGCATGAAGAACATGACCCTGTTGCAGTTCCAGGGAGGCAAGGTTGATGTGCCACTCACCCACCTCCCACCCTACCCTGAAGTGCCTGTAAGTGCACACATTTTTCTGACACATCAATACTTAAGTGTGACTTCTGGTACTACAGCAATTCGTGTGAAGTCCCAAAAGGCTAGCTCAGCAGGGAGAAGTTTAAGGTCAGAAACATGTCAGAAACTGTTCGTCTCATAATGCCGTAAAATGTGGGCCTTTGAACATGTTTCCCTTGCCTGTGTTCTTTTCCATCGAGAAGTGTTTTACTGTGTTCCACCTGTCCCCAGCTGGATGCTGTTCCTGCACCTGATGTGAAACTCGCTGTCCTTCAGCACCGCCTGAAGGCCGCCAGGACTGAGGAGGAACGGTCAGAGATCACCGACCAGATCAAACAGGAGTTTGCTGTAAGTCAATCTCAATTCCATCTATAAACATGCCAGCAAGGATCAGAAATCAGATAAGATACCAGATTTTTATACATTCCCATTTTTCCAGATCCACAGTTGTCATGCCTGATCACCTAATAGAATTATTTTATACTTATTTTCAGGATCGTAAGATGATCCAGACAACGGTGGATACCATTGTGCGGAAGGTGGCGGTGGACTCAGACCAGGCGGATCAGGTGCTGAAGGATCGTACCAGGGACCTGACCGCCCACGACTGCTACAAGCGCGCCGTCACTCACTTCCGCCGGCGCTGTTTCCTCTTCAATGTGGTATGCTCCTCCTTCCTGGGTCACATTCCAGCAATAAGTATTTATGTCCCTTCATGTCATTTTGGAAATAAAATAAGAAAGGAGTCTATTACATATGTACTATAACTATGGGGCAAGTGCCTAGATCTACTGGAACATGCTTTGTTGGGAACTGTATGTCTGGAATAAATTCATGCTCAATATGAGATGTTGTTCATGCACTATATATATTGATGTTACTTCCCATCTCTACAGTATGAGCATGCCTTGCGTCACCTGTACACCCTGGTGAACCTGTGTGAGGAGGGACTACCTGTGGACAGGTGGGTTACTGGTGTTAATGATACTACATTTGTGCAGTCAGTTACAAACAAAAAACTAGCTTACAAGTAAATCCTCACACCATTGCCACCCTTACACCAAACAACATCTTTTTCCTCGACAAAATGAATATGCCAGCTGTGGAAGCATCAAGTTTAGTAGATAGGGATTGTAGGGTGTTAGTATTGATGTTCTGTATTTATCCATCACAGGATCACAGGGGTCATGGATCAGGTGTGCATCGCTCGGAACTGAGGACACTTATCCTCAAGGTCAATGTTGGATATGCAGGACACGTTTTACATTTTACTTATATTTTTTATCATTTTTAACACATACACCGAGAACTGAGTGCACCACATAAATTTTGAACAGAGAATGCTTCAATTTTTGTTAATGACCACTTTTAATGTTTTTAAATACATATCAAGATTTTTGCAGTCAAAACTGATTAGCAGGATAATAGGGTTTTTACACAACCAGTAAAGACTTCCGTAAGCATGTCTTTACTAGTTGTGCGAAAAGAAACCCCCCAATATCCTATTTCTACCAACCTAATAAAATTATTTTAGGTAATTGATTAGCAGATGTTTGAATCATATGATCACTATTGTTACTACTTACAAAATACTACAAATTTCAAATGTTGATGACTACTTTATGAATATCGCTGCAAATTTTCTTATCCTTGTCATCTTTTGCTGATTTTATGCCATATATGATTATACTATGTTAGACATTTTTGTATCACTTACCTTCAGCTGCAGTGTTACACCAGACCTTACATGTACATGTTTGTGAGGCTCTATGGTTTTTAGCATAATTGTCAAGTTTTTGAAGGAGCTGCAGACATAGGCATTTGCCTTTCAAAGAGCTGTGCTATTTAAAGATATGTTTGTGCCACATTTTTAACAGATTTCTATTATTAAAAAATTCAAAACTTTTAATGTCAATTTAATCTTTAGGTGGCACTTTTTGGTGGAAATTGTACTTGACGGAAATGAACATGTTAATTACTGTTAAGGCCACACCAATTTAATTTGTTGGTTCTCGGATTCGCCTCTTCATTTTTTCCTGATTTGCAAAAAAAAAAAAAATTCAGAATCAACTGCAAATTGCTCATATTTTGCCCTGAACAGTTGAAAACAGTCCTTTTTTTCCTAGTCGTTTACAGTTATTCCATCTTTCAATGCAGTGGTTTCATTAGAAGTTCAAAATTCATTGTTTAAATTTTGAACCAGCCTTTTGTGTTGACTTCATACCTCCTATCGTAGCATTTGGGGCTATAATAGGATGCCTAGATCTGTTTTTATTTTTTTCGCCGTCGCTTCATATTTTTTCTGAAAAAATCCGAGAACCAACAAATTAAATTGGTGTGGCCTAAGTACATTAAAAAAAAAATCACACTCCACAAGTTGTCCCTGTCTCATCTTTACTAGCAGGCATTCCTACCTTCAGCCTACTAAGGTAGCCATTTGGCACCAAGTTTAGGGTTAGGCAGCAGGAAGATGGTTAAAGAGGAAACATGGTGCTGTGAATGTTCAGAACAAAATGAAGAGAACAGATGAGCACAAACCAAGTCTTTTAATTGGCTGCACCACATTTCAGGATGTGGTATCTTGTGTATACGTGCATGTGCCTGAATCTATAACAGGCCAGGAACATGCAACTGACCACCTTTACAGGGCAGGTACATGTATGGCTACATGCGACTGACAACTTCTACAGGCCGGATACATGAAAGGCTACATGCAACTGACCACCTCTACAGGCTGGGTACATGTATGGCTACATGTAACTGACAACCTCAACAGGCCGGGTACATGTGACTGACAGATGCTTCTAACCCTTCTGCAGGGATCCTAAACAATTCCACATAATCTGAAAACTACAACATCCTACACACAAAAAGTCTTCATGACATTCATTTTTGCTATCAATTCAAATTCAATGTACAATTGAAGAATTAGGCTATACAATTTTTTGTAATCATAAATAAGACATATTGATAAAAGATGTAGAATTACCAAAATAGAGACAAATTTGTTAAGTTACCATGATTGTAGCAGAGAGGACGACTACTGTGCTAGATTGTGTAGATAGCCAATGAGCCGGATGTACAGTACACAGTAACAACCACTGCATGGTTACAAGTCTAAACATGCGGAGCAATGCTCTACCATAGGCCTGAGAACACACCTACACTTTTTATTAGACTGTGTGCAACAACAAAATCAATGTGGGACTAGCTTCTGCATCTGGGGGTTGAAAGGCACCTGGAAAACAGCACAGAAATCTGTTGCACAAGTGATCAACATGAAGTGAAAATCAGAACAGCATAAACAGGCCTTTGATCTGGGTTGGATACAGATATAGGTTTTGGTGCAACCCGATCGCACATACTAGTAAAACATGTTGAGACTGGTATTGCAGTTTGTGCTGTTTGGTAGAGCATTGCGCTGACTGACAACACACACCCATGATGCTCAACAAAGGATCATAGTGTAACGTGAGCAATTTCTGGCAGTAACACCTGAGAGAGAAGTTATCTCTGGGTCTGAAGCATGGAAGGCTTGTCGGGAAAACATTCAACACAACATTCTCAGAGTTTCCATTTTCCTATTTATGTACACAGTCAACTCAACCTAACACTAACAGCGAAGTCTTGGACTTCAACAATTCATAACATTATCATTAATTATCATTCGCCAAATACAGAATTCTTCTCATGTAAGCACAGTGGCTTCCAGACAGAAATACATGTAACAGGAACTCAAACAAATTTGCAGTAAACATCAACGAACTTGAACTTAGAAGAGCTTTCACTGGTTTGTGGGGCTACATAACTGTCCTCAGAATCATCCTGCATTGCAAGTCTATTCACACAGGAAGAACTGCCATGTTCTTCACTCACATCTATCCACATTTTTCACACAGAGACACAAACTACAGAGCTAAAATTTCCACCTGTGTTACTTTGCAGAAAGTAAAACATCAGCACAACAAGCAAAACTAAAACATTTCAAGCAAACCTAACAGCAAAGGCTGCTAATAAAGCTAATTTCATCATTATTGGTGAAATAAATTACAGTAGAATGTATACTGCAGATCAAGAGAATGCAGAAATATCCCATAGTCACGCATCACATGTTGCAAGTGTAAAGCATTAGTTAGTTTTCACATTTGTTTCCCAACATTTAATATACATGTACAAAATGTGCAATTAAAAAATTGCAATATATTTCTCCTCCTTTTTCCAACATTGAAAAATCACCAGTTCAGTCCTCATCAAGCTTGCCAGCAGTATTGTCCTGGCTCCCTGTCAAGTTTTCTCTCTTTTTCTCAAAGATTTTCACTGGAAGGACAGAAGGCTTGGAGACCAGGACTAGGGCAAGGCAGTCTCTAAGAAGGGTCGTTGCCCCCACCCCTACATTGCAGTGTATTTGGATATGGCTGGTTTGCTGGACACCCGCTCCCTGCTGAAGTCGCGTTTCGAGTCGTCCTTCCCGTTCCCGTTTTGTTGACTACCACCCGGGCGGCGCCGGTTCCGCTTCAACTTCGCCACTTCCTTGTCAAAGACGTCTCCAGACCGTAAGGCCACGATAAGCTCGTCAAACTCGCCAGTGTCGCGCCCGTCCTTGTTCCCATCCTTGCCCTTGCCTTTCTTCCCGCCCTGTTCTTTCAGCTTCCGCTGTTTCTCCTTCTCCTTCTGCTCTCGTAGCTGCAACACAGGACAGCAACGTTAACAACTGTTTCTGCATATACCTTTGTTCATTTGTATCACATAGTAGTAGATCGCTACTCTTGTTCTTATGAACTCGCCATAATTTTGAATAAGCATTAAGAAACAGGAACACTAAGAAACAGCCCACCTCCTGCTCCCTCTTGGCCCTCCTCTCCTCCTCCAGCCTTTTCTTCCTCATGTTCTCATTGTCCTCCCGAGCCTCCCCGTACGAGGTGAGGAAAGAGTTGAAGATGCGGAAGAACTCGTCTGGCTGTATCTGGCCTTGCTGCTCCCCGAAGTGCTTCACGGCTCGGTCGTACTGCAAGGAGAGACAAACTTGTCATCAGAAACCCCAAGTCATGGCTCACTTGAGCTGCATTCAGGGACAAACTGGTTCATTAGACACTTGAAAACCAGATTCCAACCTTTGCTGCACCTAGCAAAGCCATTTTCACATACATGTAGTCTATGTGGACAGGTGGGCACATGCTCATAGGTGGTCACATGCACATTGGTTTTCAATGCTTGTCAATGGGAAAAATTATCTAGGGGACCACCAAGAAGTTGTCACATTGGCCAGGTGGTCGTTATGTACAGATGGTTAAAAGTGCAGGTTTGTTCCACTTGATAGTAAGCATGTAGGAAAACATCCTCTGACCTTGGCCTTGGCCTCCTTGTAAGTGTCCTCCAGCTCGTTGAAGGTGAAGGTTGCCACAGTGATGAAGTCCCCCATGACGGAGACAAACTTGTCTCCTCGGTCTGTCACGCGGTTCTTGTGGAACTCCAGCTCCTGTGGGTCAGAGGTTACAGTAATGGCATTAGAAGGGACCAAACTGCTGGGTACAAGTCATACTATCAACACAGGGTACATTTGGTCATTCTTGACAGAAGACAAAGTTCTTTTCTAAAATAAAACTTCAATGATAAGACAAGATTTTTTTTCAATGGTGAATGATACCCATCAGGATTGGAACAATTTGAAACATTAATATCAGATGTTGGTAAAACTAAAACAACAAAGAAACTCAGAGTGAACACACATCCCCTATTTTATCCTTTGTGAACACAACCTTACACTGGGTGTCTTTCTAACAACCTTTCTACATATTATACATTATACAGGCATCAGACAATACCATCCATCAGTAATGAAGTACAAACACACAATTTCAAGCTGCAGGAAAACCTCCTGCCCAGCTACAGGGACTACAGAACTACTGTAGAGTCAGCAGCAGGGCTGCGTCATGCTGCAGGCCTGGCTGCGTCATGCAGGGGACAGACTGCAGCACTTCTCTAAGGTACAATTCTACATGGAGGTTTAGCCAAGCCATGCCATGCTCGGGCATCACTGGGGGGAGAGTTGCCCATGTCTAGTACAGGAAAACACTGATCACTGAAAACTAGAAAGATACTTTTCAATTGGACCGATTTGGCTAGCTATCCAACACAATCAGCAATTTGAGCAATAATTTTGCATTTGAACATTTTGACCATTGACCATGGTGGTGGGGCAATGGGCTCATCTACTACAGGATATGATAAATGTTTGTGATGTCATTTGTTTGCATGATTTCATTTCTAGGCATCTTCACCCAAAAAATTTCTTTTAGATTCCCAATGTCCAGTATCTTTCAATATACAAAGTGACCAGTGCCAATACACACACACACACACACACATGGCAGACAACAGTACGCAGCCAACTTGTACTGAAAATAGACACAATTGTTAGTGGCAGGGCGGGCGGTTATTCGAGAGGTGGAACCTCATACAAGTTTGTCCTTCCTGCTGACACGGCGACGCTGCACCCCGATTTCCTGTGGGACAAACACACCGACACAAACATGGGACAGCGCAAAAAAACTGTCGCCTGTAAGGGGATTGCTCTGTCTTGCTGAGGGAGTTTTGGTGTCTCAGAATGAGTCGAATCCTTCCACATCAGTCCTTTGATTTCAAGAAGTGGTCCTACGTAACAAAATCAATTGCTTCTTCCTGTGGACATGAATGGTTTGTAACATTTCCTTTGCAACAAGTTGGTTACAAGTTGTTTTGTTACAATGTTGCATGGAATGAGATTTCCTGCATTGCAAACAGAGGTGAGCCACAAATGGAGTCAGTCTTGTTGTTTTGTGAAGCATGCAGGTTTGACAAGGGATGGCTGATTTTGTTAAAGTGTGATCTGAACTTGTGAAGATACTGTGCCAATGGGAAGAGGTGTTGACAAAGTTTACCGATAGTAGTGCATTTATAATTGTGCTTTCGTGGGTGGTTTTTGTGTGGTCCTACACAAGACAGAGCTATCATCAAAACCATAGCCTTACAAAGGAAAAAAATTACAAATCATAAAACTAAACATGACTTGAAAGGCAGAAGAAGAAAAAATCAAAGTTACCATGAAACGGAAATAATGCTTAATACTTCCAGAAAAATGTATTATTGTGAATACATGTCTGAAACTAAACATGCATGTGAATAATGAGCTGGGACATTCTCCAGTCTCAGGATTTGATACAAAATGATGTACAGGAGATGTATGGTCCAAGTTGACTGAGTATACATGTATGAAGCTGCTGCTGTGTCTCACCTTTTCTAACTCCTTCAGCCCTGCACGCAACACTCCCATGTCCTGCTCAAGGTCAGGGATACTGGGGAAACATACAGAAATGGAAGAACTTAAATGTCGGGTTACAGTCTGCAGTGGCACATCTTCTTTTATTCATTGCCTACTCTAATTCATTGCCTACTCTAATGAACCTTCCACTACTTGTTCGTTTTCTACTTCTTCCAGCTACATGTATATCCTATGGACCCTGTTGGCTGTCTCAAGTCATCATACATCTAACTCAATCACTCACTGAAAATGGATGCACTTCATTCACATGCACTCTGTTGCTCTCAGTCATTTAGTCATTTGTTCCCCACCCTCTCACACTGGGAACCACCAAGAGAATCTGGACTGTGTTGTTCCTGACCTGACTTTGCACGCCTCCTTGCAGTTGCTGATGTCGTTCTCCAGTTTCAGCACGTCTGGAAACTTCCTCTCGATGACCTCCAGCATGTAGTGCAGCAGGGTGATGTTCCTGTCAATGCTGGACTTGGTGTCCACGATCTTATTGAGGCTGGAGAGTTTGAAGCCCATGGCGTTTCCTCGCTGGCCCCGGTTCATGTAGTTCCCAAAGGCCAGAACCACCTCAAGAACCCGCTTCAGCCGCTTACTTCTCACAACTTCCTTAGATGCCACAAGTAATGCTGGGAAGGAGCAAAATTTCTCAGGTTATGTAAGCACACTTGCCTTAGATGCTACAAGTGAAGCTGGGAAGACCGACAGTGGCAATTGGTATGAAGACTATGAAGTAGTTAATTAGCACATGTGGTTCCTTACCACAGAAATTGAACATACTAAACAAATGTTCATAAGACTACTCTTACTCTCCTTAACAACAACAGTAATTAGGAAACTTCTCAAACCTTCTTGGCTTACATCTTAACACAGGTATCTAAATGTACAACATAGAACTATATTAGTTACTCATACTCCCACAGACTAACATCTACATCATGTATGGTTATCTGCCACTAGGGATGGTTTTGTACCTTCTATTCTTGGCTTGACTTCTCCAACTCTCTCCTGGAATTTCTTCTTGAAGAATAAGGCCTTCAGTCTCTGTTCATAGTGTACAATCCTGCAGGAAACAAACCAGACATGCAAAGATTATGCAAACTCTTTACTTTCACCATAGAAAAATCTAGGTGCCGAGAACTAAAATGATTTTTGCACCAATACCAGGTTGGGTGAAGAAGGAAAGATAAACTTAAACTCAGGAGGAGGTCCTTACTTGCTCATCTCGTACAGGAAGCTGTCTGCCCGTGCCATCTGGTCGATCTCGTGTTTGTGTTCCTCCAGCAGGTCTGTCTCCTCCTTGGTGGGGACGAACTTCAGAAGCTGTCAGGGAAAACAAACAGGTCAGCAAAGAGCAGCAAGATGCCAACTGGTTTCTTTTGCAAAAAAAAAGTGCCACTCAAAACTGAAATATTTTATTTTCTCCCCTTTAAGTACATTTACACTTAAGTCCTAACCAACGATTACCATATCCACAGAAAAGACAGACTGACAAGACTGAACAGAGAGTTGCCAGACTATACTGTACACAAGTTGAGCCTGACCTGCTCCACCATGTCCTTGGGCAGCTCATCAGCCTTGTCCACGGACAGCACGGCCTTGGCGATCTCCTCGTTAGTCATCTTCAGCTTGGACAGCAGGATGGTGCAGTTCTGGGCACGACGACCCTCGATCACAGACAGCTCCTTCACTCGGGCCTTGATTGTCAGGTCCTCCACATCCTCCTCTTTCTGTAAGACACAATAAAAACACTTTAGACGACCAGTAACACCTCTACAGGTCTTTGATGCTTTGTTGCTTGTACCAAAATGATAAACATTTTTGTTGAGTCTTTCTCTGATACATGAAATCCTGCACGTTTTGAAATGCCAGATGCTGAATGTGAAAGTACCACTGCACAAATCTGAAGTCAAGCCTCATTTGAACTTTTGAAGCTTCAGTTAGCTGATTGCTGTGGTTGTAATTGTAGAGCAAAGGTCCAACTTCCAATCGGAATTTCTAGCCCAGTTTTGATTCACAAACTTTTTTAAAACTAGTGCATTTACATGCACTAGTTTATTGTTACAAGGTGATATGTCAACCTTTAGTATGCTTTGCAACATTTTGTCTTGCAACTGCCTCACAACTCTCTGTACTACTAAAGTTTACCTACAGCATGCTAAAGGTTAACCATATTTGTGAGTCTACGCTACAATGACAACAAAACATTGTCACGAGGGTGTGTTTATAGCATGAAGAATGTACTAATGCCAGTCACTTTAGGTCTGGAAAGGCTAAGAAATTTGGAATTTGAACACAGACATCTCCAAAGGAAACAATCTCAGTTGCTACATAAGTTGTCACAGAAATAATGACTTCCAAATTCCAATAATGGAAAATGGCTTTACAAGTTTAAAGTGACCGGGATTGTTTGCAGGTGAGTGTGAAGGGAATGTAGATGGTGGTGACTCTTGCTGAGGTCTATGTGAGGTGTGAGGGAGTGAACTTAAGTTATAATGTGTGTTGTCTGGTTCTGTATGAGGGAGTGAGGTTTAGTTCTTGTGTTGTCTGGTTCTCTATTATACCATTCCATGCCTCCGAGGGTCCTCTGCCAGACCTCCTCTCTGCTGAACAGAATAATACAGACATGCCGTCATCGAATCACAGAAGATAAGCTTGACAGATTTCCATAGAGAAAGACTAGTCCTACCTGGTCCCACAACAGGCCCTGGGAAGCGTGAGAGGCGAGGAAAAGAAAAATCTAGGACATGAATGACTCGACAGGCAGCCAAGCGCCAAGAGAATTGGCACGCACAGTACATGTACATGTACACAAAGGCAGGAAAACATGGACATTAGCCCGGCTACATCAAGCTTCTAGCAGCCCATCAACTGGTCAGGCCCCTAGAAGATTGATGACCACACCTCTAAGTCAGGAGAATTGGGAACATCCTAATCCTGTTGATTTACTAGAGGTTGTCATGATTGGTTTCTATAGTGACAGACAATTCTGATCTTCTATTGAACTGATTTTCCAAGTGATATAGAATCCCCTATCTCCTATTGGTAGTTCTGGGATTGGGAATGGTTCTCTCGAGTTAGAGGTGTATGGCCACAAGGTCTCAGGAAGGAGGCAAATTCAGCCAGTGACAGCGAGAGATTGTGTAACACAGGCTAACATGGACATCTGTCATGTGTGACACACTTTTAGACTTTACACACTGGACAGCCTGGAATTGAAGTCAGCTTATCCAATGACAATTTTGGTTGGGTGAAACATCTCATCGTCAAGAAGTCATGGCAGACTTAAATACACAATAATAATGTCAATGTAGAGGGGATAACATTCCCCTTTAAGATGGCACAGGTTTAACAACAGGGGTTGTTCAACACTTTAACGACTTTTTGAATTAGAAGAGACAAGTCTTCAGTACAATGTACTTCACACATGGACACATGTAAGCAAGAAGAGTTCCTTCACCACAAGAATGTACGAAGGTTAGATGACATTAGCAGTCTAGGGGCTCTGAGCTCCTTCAGGAAACAAGTCAAATCAAACATATGGCAGCAAAAGAGTAAAGGCACCTTAAGAAGTGGTAACAAATTTAGAGGCTTTGACATGGAAAAAGCTACAAGAAACTTAAAAAAAGAAGGAAGACTTTCTTAAGATTTCACTCCTGGAAAATCTGTCCTATCATCTTGTTCCTCTGACTTATTACTTTAGACTTCCATTAGACCCATAGCACATTTTTTATAAATAAAAGTAAATGTTTGCCTGCAGTACCTGTGGTTTCTGGTAGGCAGAGAAGGTCTTGTCAAACTCTGCTAGGTCCATCACTTTGTGAACCTGTGGAAAAGAAACAGCACCTTAATTAGTCCAATTGAAATCTGCCAACACCTCATGATACAGAAAAGAAAAGTTTGTCACAGTCCTGTTAATCATAAACATAGTGTGACTTAGACCATGTGTAAAGCACAAATACAGACCTGAGAGTCATCCAGTTCTGTCCAAACTGTACCAACCAGTTTCATCTGAAAAACACAACACACAGCGAACAATCGTCAGCAATACAACACAGACCTGGGAGTACAGGGATTGTAGATTTCTGAACAGTTACCATGAATGCAACGTGTTTTTACAGAGCATTTTCATAAGGACACATAAGGACACATAAACATAGGGGCTTATGCAGTAACTTCTGTGACACAAACATGGTGGTTAACACTTGCTAACAGTGATATGGAAAGTGAAAACACTATTAGAATTCTGTACATATAGCTAACATAATTATGCTAAATCTTCACCTCATGACAAAAGCAACATATCACATGAGTGCTGCACATATCTGAAGTCTTCCATGGTCATGAAAATAAGCATGTTCTCCATAACACGTCAACCCTTTCCAGCAAGAGAAGTTTAAGAAGTGCTTACTTCTGGTAGCTTGACCCAGTTGAAGGATTTGAGGGCTTGTGAAGGTTTGGGGGCTGGCTTGCGGCGAGGCACGGCTGCCCCTGGGAGTGGGGGAGCACCTGGTGGGGGTGGGGGAGCACCTGAGGACGACAGGGTCAATTCTTGAATATTGGTGATAATTTTATTGCAAATTCTTACCCGAAGGATAATTGTAAGTACTAGTATGAAAAATACGATCACACAACAAAGAACCAAAACTATTTTAGATAGGCTGCTTGGCATCTATTATAGATATTACAAGTAATGGAAACATTTTACGTTCAATGTCTCAGAAATGTCAAAGACTTGAACTGCTCACCTGGGGGTGGAGGAGGCCCCATGCCAGGCGGGGGTGGGGGAGGTGGTGGTCCGATGCCCCCTGGAGGTGGAGGGGGTGGCACACCCATAGGAGGGGGAGGGGGTGGGGGTGCCGGCCCCACAGTAGCTTTGGTATCATCTGGTACACTTCCTCCATGGACCAGGCCAATCAACCGTTCCTTCTCTCCCCTCTCCTTCTCTGCCTACAAACAAATGGAGAAGCCAGGAGTAAAGAAACGATTCCTTACTGTGGAGGTTTTGCCAGGAAAGATCAAGCTGACAAACTGTGTATGTCGCAGCAAGCCCAAATCTACAGGCCACTACATTCCACAGTTCAAACTGCAACTCAGCAGCACACCCATTCAATCAACCTATACGAAACTCAGATTCAAATCTGCCACAAATCGCTTACAAGTTTGCCTAAAGCACAACATCCGACAGAGCCGACATACTGATTCCATGGGAAGGTGTCTGCTGTTTGAACAGGTTGTTTTTAGATTGAAAATTGGCAGTTTGGAAATGATTGCCACTATTTCCAATCTGAAAACAATCTTTACAGCTAAGCTGACATCTTCTCACAATGTTGTCACTGCTTTGCTTATGTTGTGGTTTTGAAATTGAAGAGGTTGATTTGATGGGGTGCAGTAGCAGAGAACACATAGACAAGCAGGTTGTAAAGACATTGACAGTTATTGCTGACATGCCAGGACACACTCTACAGTTGTTAGTGGTGTTATGTGTTCTACAGTGCACCTACAGTGCTGCATGCCACTCAGTGAGGAAACTACTGCAACCTCCCACCAGTCCTTGGGCAGAAACACCAGCTAGCCAGCACAGCTGCAAGGTAAGGGCAGCCCGCAAATCTGACGGGAGGTTGTCACTACAAAGGGGAGGGAGGGGTCCCCACAAATTTGGGGGGGTGTATGTTGTAGGGGGTGGGTGCACAAACCAAGCAAGCCAGACGTCGGCACTCATGCAAGAGGGAGGGGGGGTACTCGGGCAATTGTTTGGCATTGAGCTGGGTTTCTTGGAGGGATTTTCAGTAGGAGCATTTTTTGTTTATTATGTTTTATTAATTTGTGTTTTATAGATTGAAGACCCAGCTCGTTGCCATGGTGCAAGCCCAAGGGCAGGGTTTAAAGGTTAAAGGGCATGCAAGGCTGAAACGGAAGCACTGACTGTTGCCCGCAGCTCATTGAGTTTCCCTGAGAGCTCAGTGACCTTTGCCCTCTCTTGGGCTAGCTCCTCCTGCACCGACGCCAGCTTGTCCTTCATCTTGTTCAGGGTGCTCATCATCTCCTCCTGTAAACAAATAAACAAACAACTTTACCATCAGAGCCTGCCATTCATCACCAATACTTTAAAAAAAAGCAGAGAAAAAAGCAGGAAATGTTTCTGGATGTCTCTCTAGTCTCTACTGCAGTACCTTCTCCTGTATCTTGGCCTCACACTCCCTCTCCTTCTTCTCCAGCTGAGATGTCAGCTCCTCCCTCTCCTGCTGCATCGTCTGTGCCTGCGCCTTCCACTGCTTGATCTCATTCTCATTCACGATCCTGAGGATAGTTCCCAGTAAAAACAGATGTAAGGATTGGGAAAACTCAAGTTAATAAAGTGAGACTTAAGCTTACCTTCCAGCCCCCTGTTTTCATCTTGTCCTCTCCTTTCATCTTTGAGGGACAAGAATTCAGAATACAATTGGTGTGGCTGAAGATATACTTGCTAGAGACCCCATCCACCTCTCTGGTGCATTTCCAACTTGAAAGTGATCTGTGGCATGCTACATTTCAACCATACCCCATCACCTGGGTGCATGGGGGAGGCCTGTAATGTGCTGAGGGTTACGTAGTACAGCTAAAGGTCCTGTGCATACATAGAAGGACAACACCATCACAGATGGCTAAACCATGTTCCCAACACAGCAAAACTGATGCAGATGCAGACAGCATGATGTCAATAAAGACTTGAGAAGCCGATTGAAAATTTCGATGACAGCAGAAACTTTTGGAAAAGGAAAAATTGATCTATAATTGCTGATAGTACATCTACAAGGCCAAGAGGTGAGTGATTATAATCAGTCAATACATTGTACACATTACAATCAATGTGCTATAAGTTTCATTGATTGATTGACTTGAACCTGACGATGATGCATTACAGACAGCCCAAAACTGTAAGCTGTTGTGGAACATGATTGTGCCATTTATGATGTAAACCACAGACACAGATGAACATTTGTCCCACTATCCCATGGCCAGACACACCCTGTGGAGGGGGGGGGGGGTGTAGAGGGTCTGGGGGCTTACACACATGTCAATGTCAACCAAGAGGCCCACTTCACATGATGTACCGACATCTGGGCCACATGCACGTCCCGGGGGCACACTGGGCTGCAAACTTTAACATGGATGAAACAAAGAAATCATATATCATATTCATCAGGTGGTAGAAAACAGTGAATGGAAATGGGGTACTGTATCGATGGGAGGGGGCATGTGAGAGAACAGAAAGTTTGTCTACCTGCCCAGAGCTAGAGGATCGTTACACAGTCTGCAGATGGACGGGGGAAGGAAAGAAAGAACAGCAAGAGGAAAAGCAGAAATAGGAGAACACAGAAAACAAAGAACTGTTAAAACAATCAAAGATAAAAACTGCAGTTTCAATGTACATGTCTGAGTTTAGGGAAGCAAAAGAATCTTGTTGGTAAATGATTCAGCAAAGCCAAAATGCTGTTAAGTAGGACCATCAGGCTTCTTTGAAGGGGACAAGTTTGAGACATTAAGTATGACTTACATCTCCACCAGTTTGCTAACATTGATGTTCTTGAGTGGTGCCACGTCGGGGTCCATGCCATTCTCCTGAACAACGATCTGTTGCAGGATGCGGTCCACCAGCTCCCAGTACTCTGGACTGCCATGCCTGTCCACTATGCAACACATACATGCCCTGTTAGCTTTTATTTCATCCTAAACTATCAGCTACCCCAGTACTGCAATGCCTGTCCGCTGTTCAACACATACATGCTCTGTTAGCTAACCCAGGTCCCAAAGACTGGTTGTTCCAACTTGACAAAGACTGTAGTAAAGACATTCAGCAAGTTCTTTTCTTTGGTGTGTAACACACAGTTTAATCTTCAACAACAATGAACCTTCCAGCTAATGTCATCATCATGCTCATGTTTGAATCCTCCAGCTCATTTTGACTTGAGGAATCTTACAACCAAGACTGTCTGACTTACATGGCAGGAGGAGTAGATGTTGTAGGAGGGACAGGAAGTGGGGGTACGCCGCCGTGTGGTTCAGCTTCTTCTTCAGCAGGTCAAACATGCTGCCGGCACTGCGCGAGTCCACATGGACCTGACAGGCAAAAACATAATGATCTCGTTTTGTAAAATACAAAATACATCAAGCAACTGGATAAATTATCTGGTCCTACTGTTATCACTGCTTGCGACAAGAAAATTAGAAACAAATAGTTCCATCATACAGTTACAGGAAAAACTTTCCCAGATCTTTTTAACAAGTAAACCAACAGTATTAACATGGCTCAACCATGTCACTAAATTTTTAACTTTAATAAAAGAGGTGAATGAGAATATAAATTATAATCATGGTAAAGATGCTCACACTTTTTTATCATTTATTTTTACCAGGATGAAACAAACTACAATAGTCAAGTTCTAAACAAAACATGGTCTGAAAGATCCTAGTGTTTCTTTCCTTACCACATCAAATCTCTTTGCAAGTTCCTGTTCATCCTCAGTTCTGATCAGTTCAAAGAAGTCTATATGCCTGTAGGAAAGAATACAATATCCAGGAATATAACACAACAGCTAAACTGAAGATATAACTGGTTTCAACAATCTTGGATGGCATGTCACTTTCACATCTGATGGAATTAGAGCACTGTACTAAGTTCAAATTATAATTAACACACTTGAACCTGTAGCTGTGAGTGTCATAACAGAAAACATGTATTACTACAAATACAATATGTCAGCTGGTGACACAGGAAACTTTACCCTACATGTACATTCAAACAAGTTGACTAGTGTTGATAAAATTTTAAACTGGTAGAAATATTATACTGTCAATGTGCAAGCAGTTAACATTTTCAGTCTTTGATCTGAAGAAAATGCCAAACCAAAGAAATGTATTAGTATGTCCTAGTTTAAAGTAATTGGCCCAGTACAACAGCACAATGCAGTTCTGAGAACCCTGCAGGATGACACACAGTTTATATTGAACTCTAATGTTTCCACACAGTCCACCCTGTTTAACAAACAGAATAGCTGAGGAGGAAGGTAATATCAACATGACAGGGAAACACTGACTGAGCTGACATCTCCACGTGTCATACTGGCGTAATTCTGCACTAACCAATATGCAATGTTTCTAGTATAAAAATACTACATATGCAAACTGCAGAACAAACTTTTTACTGGAGAGAAATCTACAAGTGATCATGTCAACTTCCTCATGAGCCACCAAAAGGCTGGACAAGGGGGTGCATATGTTAAACAGGCTTTCCCCCTGAATGTTTCAGCTCCCTTGATTAGGTCTGTGGTCAGCCCCAAATTGGGGGTGCGTAGTTTAATGGACGAAACACAGTACGGTATCTAAGATTCTAAGGTTCTATGGCGGTTTCCTTACCAAAGGTTCTACGATGGGTTCCTCACTTATCTAAGATTCTACATGTATCTAAGGTTCTATGACGGTTCCTTACCAATCTAAGATTCTACAATGGTTTCCTTACCTACATTATATCTAAGGTTCTATGATGATTTCCTTACCTATCTAAGATTGCATTTTCATGAGTCCGTAGCTTGTCTATGATGGGTTGGATGCCCAGCATCAGAAACTCGTAGCGCAAGTGGACCCTGAATTCCAGGCTCTCCTGCAGGAACAGATAAATACATAAACTTGCTACAAATGGAGCTTTTGCTTCTTGACTGAGTAAAAAAAAGTACAGACATTACAATCTCAGCTTACCTTATGTTTTCAATTTTCTTTGCCAAGAAAACTCACCTGTTTTGAGAATCAAGATAGAAGAGTGATGCTAGAGAAGGTGTCAGGACACAAAAGGATATTTCCTGCCATTAACACTCCTGTTAGATGATGGCTACTGTTGAAACCCAAATCTCAGCCAAGCTTCTGGTACAATAATCCAGAGTTATTCCCAGCAGGTGGTCAGGGACGAAACCCAAGAAACCAGGAATGCCGAGGCAGCACATTTATCTAAGCATCCATGAAGACATCTGAGAGTCACCCCAACACCTTACAAGGACGAGTACACCTATGCCGCTGAACAGCAGAGCAGGTGTAAACCTTTATGTAAGATGCTATATTATGTCTTATATAAGATTTAACATCATACCTCATACATGTACATGTATAAGATATAATTTATCATCTTACATAATGGTTTTACTACACCCGCTCTTTCAGCAGCATAGCTTTATCTATCTCCTACATAAGATATAAACGTGATTGTCAGACCTGGGCAGTGTACACAAGATATTCTTCCTTACTAGCAAAGTAATTATGACAAATGATTGCTGACATCACAGCACCATATCTTGGCCCTTGTGAATATGACTTTCTCCAAGGCACCCCTGTGAACTAGAGGACTTAATGCACTCACCTCACCAGCACCATATCTGAGCATGGCGTTAATGAAGGACATGATGGCTGTTTTCAGGTTGACCTCCTCCCGGTACACACCCGTACTGCGGTCCAGGTCGTGGATCAGCGACTGTGGGAAGAAACGGGAAGACATGCATCAACATGTGCAGGACACAGCAGATGGAGAAGTGATGCACTGGTATAGTTGTTAAAAGAGAGGCCATGCAGACTGAAGTTCCAGACTTTTACAAGTGAACAACAAGAGGAAAGAAAAAGACAGCATAACAACAAAGAAATCTAACAATCAGTGCTCATTGACAAGATACTTGTTGTTGATGAAAAATGTCAACTTGAACACAGTGAAAAGGATCCAGGCAATTCAAGTCCCCAAACGTCTCACATCAATCTTTACCTCTCTCGGTCCCAGCCTTGAGCGTCGGTGAAAGAGCGGCAAGTCATGGAAGAGGGACTGGTCCCAAGATCACACACACACAAACATACACACAAACACACATACAGGAGTATAGGAGAACAGAAGTGCTTCAGAAGTCATCCACAGTTTGAATGCTTCAATGCCTCCCACACACTACTGATGAATGCTGAGACTAAAGCAGAAGGTATGCTTCAGAATTGGATCACACATATATGTACAGCCAGCGTGGGAATACAGGACAAATAAATGAGATAATACAACAGGAATGTTGAATGCAAGACATAATTAATACTTTTTTCCAAAAGGGGAGACCTACGTCAGACATAGGAGACAGTGTTTTCCCTGATATGTAAAACAAAAAGGTAACCTTCGAGGAGTTCACATAGTTCCCACCAGAACTTCTATTCTCTAACCTTCATTCAAATTTGGAAAGGTGGATTCAAGGGACAGGTTTGACTTTAATGTAATATATCTGTATAATCAGGAATTTAATGATAGAAACAAAGATATCATAGCAGGGAGAGAAAGATACTTAACTGCATTTTTTTAGATTCCCATTATGGTTACAATACTTATTGTTATGAGCCTCTCCCACAATGGAAAAATAATGAGGGAGAAAGGATGCCAAAGTCATCTGCTGGCTGAATTACAAAGTAAAACACATTAACTGTGTGCCTGTACGGACCTGAAACCTTGTCCTCTCAGCGGAGTAGTTCTGGTAGTGCAGCATGGCCTCCAGCACCTTCTTGTGCCCCCCCTCCACCAGGCACACGGCTCCCAGGATCTCCAAAACTGCAATCTTTGTCTTGATGTTCTCACAGCTCAGGCTCTGTGCGATGATGTTAATGCTGCTGTGGTGGCCAAGCACATGGGACCTGCCATGCTGTAAACATATAAACAAATGAAGTAACAATTTTAAAACACAGTACAACACTCTAACTTCCAGCACATGGGACTTGTCATGCTGTAAACAAACAGCAAGTAACAATTCCAACACACAGTACAACACCTTAACTACCAGCACATCGCCAAAGGACCTGACATGCAGTAAATAACATATATGGTAGGGGGCTCTTCATTCATGTAGCTGGCACTATGAGTTTGATACTTATGGTCGTCAATTTTGTCCCTGTCCCTGTGGAAAACATTTTCTGAATGCTTGCATAAATGTTGACACAGTTTTGGACAGGGAATGACTTTGCAACCAGATTTTTTTCACTCATATGTATCATATGTTGCTCATTCTGTGACTCCTAAATAGCTTACTCTGTTGTAACAAGACCACACAAATCTAATCTAAGCTGAGTTCAATGTGTAAGGAACATATAAACATACTGAGTTGTTCATGAGGGCCTTGATGCAGCCAATGATGGAGGTGTGGATTCGGCTCTCTGACGTCTCATAGTCCATACTCTGTAGGAAATTCAGCAGGCACGACAACCCGTCCAGCTCTATAAACCTGTGCACAAACCTACAGAAGAACAAACATTGTCATGACAACCCGTCCAGCTCAATAAACATATGCAGACATACAGAAAAACAAAACAAAATTCTTGTACGTTCTTTGTTTTGTACATTTTTTTCTTCTCATCCACAGCTCCATAAAGTCACCTTGAGACTGTTTGTTCTCCAAATTTATATATTCTAGTTTTCCAGAAGTGACCTTATTTCTGCTGATCTTGCACATATGTCAATCCAACAATCAATAGGATGTAAACTGATACAGTACGTAGTGGTGCCTCAGGGCACGTCCAGCAGGGCACATCAGATGGTCAGTCTAATGGCAGGGAGAGAAATTACTGGATCTGGATGAATCAAATATTTCTGGTAATCCATTTTGCAGTCATCAAGGTATCACATTTGCAGTTGAAATGGTCCAAAATGACGCCCTAATCAGCTTTACAAGCAACGGGTCAAACATCTGGCACAAATGCAGGTTCTGATTTAATTTTTGCTCCACTCAGTGGATTCCAACATTAACAGCACCGTCCAGCCATAACTTTCAGAAGCTCATCTGCACCAAGGGAGTCATGAAATCTCAGCTATGATAGGGGCTACTCATACATATGCAGCAGTTGTTGTGAACCCTTAGCGTCCTCACAACAGATAAAAAAGACAACATGTGACAGGACATATTCGTTCATTCATTGACTGAGTGAGTGCATTAGTTACCTCATTGGCTGTGTCCTGAGAGCTGTCTTGAGGCTGTCGGCCAGGTTGGCTCGTACTGTCACCTCCTCTTCATCATGGGCAAACACAAGCTGTGGGGAGAGCAACAAGGCAATAAAGAACGGCCATACAGACACAGGCATAAACCAGACAACACGTATATCATAACAGAGATCAACAGAACACTAGTCACTTCATATAAGGAAAATACAGATGTCAAACACAAGTTGGTATTAAGGTACCATTGAAAAATATTGCTTTGTTCAATAAATGGTATCTTCATTTGTGCCCTCTTGTTTACAGTTCATTAATAAGGCAGATGATGATAGTGAAAATCTCTGGGTTCTTTCCAACCTTTGAAGTGACTCATGTCAAAATCATGCTAAACCATCGCTTGTATCATATTCATAGGTACAAAGTAGTACAGCTAAACAACAAAGGCAGCCATCCAACTCACACAGTCACAGCCACTCATTTGCACACTATGCTTACAACTCTTGCATAAAACTGAAATATCAGATTCAACTTCATATACAGCATTGACACAGGACACACAACAACCGACACTGCAAATACTGTTTGGCAGGACTAAATTTCATGATTTTGGATTGAACATGCAAAATATCTGCAGGGCTGTTCACTAGCAAAACAAATATGTCCATTTTACAGTATTTTCTGTCATATGTGTCATATGTGGCACAGAAGAAACCAATAGACACTACAAGTTTATTATGGAAGCCAATTTTGCTGGAACCAGGCATATTGAACAAATACACAAATGACGACGGCCAAGCTATTGATGAAGTAATGACAGCAGAGTGTTAAGATGTTCAGGCAGGTGATTCAGGTGTATTTACAGATGATAAAGGTGTAGCTACATGTAGGTGCAGCATTTGGTTTGCTACAGACTTACCGCAGCTGCCAAGGGCCACTTACATGTAACGAATGTCAAAACAAGAGAAAACAGAAGAATTCAGTACGAAGTCTGTAGCTCAACTCCAGCAATCACAGAATTTAAGTGATGGAAGTCTTTTAGGATGGCAATGTGTGAAATAATGGTTACCTAGTTATGCAACTTTGACAGATGATTTTAGAGCAGGAGTAATTGATGCGTATTAAGATTAAAAGTAACTGGTTATACATTCAACCACATAGGCGAGAGACAGAGAAAATAATGTACCCTGGTAATTCATTTTTCAAACTCTCATCTTGCCCTGCTATGAATAAATCTTCCATCTTTTTAATCAGCTTTAATATTTTACCGTTTAGAAATTCAAACCTTGTACTAGAAACTTACTAGTCATAGAATACACTAGAATGGAACCTTCTAGGACCTAAAGTGTAGACAAATTAAGACTTCAGCGTTTCCGTACCTTTGCCATGGCATTGAGCCGGTCAATATAGTAGTCAGGCCAACTGGTGGACGTTGGGTCATCTTGTTCCTGTAGAAACATAGATAGGGGAACTGTCAGGAAAACTGTCAGGGCAGAAACATAAAGAGGAAAAACTTTTTGGGAAAGAGGTTGGGCATTTAACAAAGTGGATGTAATTAATGAACTTACAAACAAGTATGTGGATAAGTTAACATGTTAAGTTTAACATACACAGGAAGGCTTATCTCCTCTAGTATCTCTTGAATCATGCGTTGTTTGTAAAATCACTAACACAGGTGGCCTTAGTCAAGTATAGCAACTCAGTTGCCCATTACAAGGGTGGTCGCCTTTGTAATCCCCCACACACTGCCGCTATTTATACAGCTGATCATATAGGCTTACTCTTTCCAACAAGCGATATCTGCTTATTTATTCAAGATCTTTCTGTGCTTACATCTCATCAATGTGTTATCAAAGTACAAGCAACTGGCCAAGGAAAAACTCAGGTTTCCCTTCATCAAAGGAGAATCTGATCCAGATTAACATAATCTGCAGGAAGGCCTCAAGTTGACAACATTGTCTACAGCACAAGGCAAACAGTTTAACACATTAGTGTAGTCACAATTCCAAATGTGTGACTCACCTATCAGACAGGTATTTCCTGAACATAACACTAAGCGGAGTCTATTTTTTTAATGACCTATACATGTGACCTAATGAGGACTCAGGTCTTATATTGGGGTCAGAAAAATGTCCAGGATTAGGATCTATACTAGAAGAAAACAGTACTGTTTACAGCAGATCTGACCTGGAGACTGGCACATACTCTCACCAGCTAAGCAGGTTAAAGTGTAATTCCACAGTAAATAAATAAATCTGCTGCCAATTTTCTGGTATTTGCACAACATCCAATACCTACCTCTAGTCACTCTTGGCAAATGTGCCTATAGAAGGCCCCTGGACAGTACAGGTGGTGTAGAAGTCTGGCATTAACAAGATACCATCGGTAGGGCCACACCAATTAAAATTTGATGGTTCTTGGATTTAATTACAGTGGATCGAAATAAAACATCAGAGTGGAAGAGGGAAGTCATATTCAAGTCTGTACCTGTTTCTGGGATAGAATATACAGACAGTAACTGTTGTTGGGTTCATGTTTTCCTCACAGTCTTCTTTCTCTTTTTCTGTTAACTAAATTTTTACTTTGAAATGTCTGAGAATCAAGAGAGTGAATTGATGAGTGTGATTACCGTTAAGGGCCCAGCTGCTGGCACACAAAGAGTTTTTTCATGAAATTGCAAAATATATCAACTTGCTTCTGAAAAGCAGTAAGACGATCTTCCTTCCAAAAACAATGTCTACTTTCATCAGTTAGACATTCCATCTGTTTTTCTGCTAGTGCCTGAAGCCATTAATATCATAACATCTCTATATTTTGTCTACCCAAATATCAAAGCATTCTTGTCTTTCTCCATACCTGGGTAATGGATCGGAGTTGCAGTCATTACATGTATGTCATTACAAACACACACAATCATATCCCCCTGACAACAGAACTGGCCAGATGGTTTCCATTGCCAAGGGCAAGTCCAACACTGATACTTTGGAGCAATGGAAATTACGTATAAATCTGAAATTCTCTTTCGTAAACTTTTAGTTTAAGTGGAAAGAAATTAATTCTTTCTTCCTAAACTTCATTGTGCATAACCCTAAGCTAATTTGGTAACTAGCTAGGTGTGGGCATGTACTTCATTCCACAGATAGGTACACATGCCACACAACACATCAACTTGGACAGGAGAGGCTGGAAGAGGTTAGAAGCACACTAGGTGTGGTGTTCATCTCCTTCTATCTTCAAGCATACTGGTGACGTCATGTCTGCATACAGACACAGGCCGGCCTGAAGCCATAACAAAACCTTTGTGCAACAACAGATAGGGAACACTTGCTGAAGGAGTCTCTAACCATGATAACGCTATGGTTGTCAGGATTCAGTATAAAGCAAATCATTTTGGGTATGTATCATGTATGGATGGGTGCATTGGAAAGAACTGCTTCAAGTTGTAGACTGGATTGTGAGCTCTGCCATAAGAGCAATGCATCAAAATGCGAAGAGATCTATCTGCTATTTCTGTGAACAACACGGATGGGTTTGACTTCTCTGGAGTCCCATGTTTTGGAAGAGCACCATGACAGACAATCTGAGTGAAAAATTTGTCCAACCACTCCCTTGCTTGAGGGTACAAATTCACTTCAGATGGTAGCAGAGAAATAGGCTGGTGACTTTTGGGATCTAAATGCCACTAGACCAGAGTTGAAACCTGCACAGTAGAAATTCCTACCAGTCTCTCAATGGTCAGGGGTAGCAATTTGGCCCCAACCCTGATTGAAACCTGGTCTTGAACATGGGACGTGATGAAATCAAGATGTCTTCAAGATGTCTCAAGTACTGTAAGGGATGACCTCCACCCTTGACTGCAGGTTTTCCAGGTAGAACAGGTTTAAAATACTAGCTGTAGGAAGTCTTGTGATGCTGGACTAAATAGTCTATGAACATAAAAGTTTAGCATAAATAATTATGGTAATATAATTGGACATCTTGTCACCTACTAGTATTCAATTTTCTTAAGTAAACATGTAAGCTAATTTATGCCAAATAGAAAACATGATTACAGTTTGGACTTACAATCCAACATTGGCCTTGTCTTTACTATTAAAAAAAAAACATTTCACAGTAACTCTTGGAAGATCAAAGGCCAGTTGATTCCTGTGTTGATTTTAGTTACAGGTACATTGGTTTAGGTACAGGTCTGGACTTGTTTTGTGTCTAAACAAGTTTGGCCAATTATGAATTATAGCTAACTGTGTGAGTCCTGTCTTGGGATGGACCCTGCCCCAGGTGACGTAAGAATGATTAGAGTCATATTACAGTAGGATGTATATGTAAGGAAAGGATCCTTTGTACTTGTTCCTCACAGTAGGTATTGTGTCACACAGAGGAAGTAGCTGAGACAGGTTGATTTATGTCACATGTTACAGCTAAGGGCTCATTTGTAACATGGGGGAGAGAAAACCTCAAGGAAAACAACTGGTCAGGAAGAGGCACTTTGTGAAGTAAAGCCAGCAGAATGATTGTGGGACACAGATAACATGCCTGGGTCAGACCCTGGGCTTCAGGCCCCAGGCCAGACAAATCTGATGGGTTGCTGTTGAATAGATTTATGGGGTCATAGGTGAGGGGAAATATGCTAGAAAGTAGAAGAGCCATATTGGGAGAGTGTGGGTAAGGGCACAAAAGGAGCTTGTCTATCCCTCTGTCATCCATGCGAAATTAGGATTCTACAAACATTTCCCAACTTCTGTATGGACAAATACATGTAGGTACAGCAAGGTATGGTAAGGGTTGGTATGCCATAATTAATGGTATGGTACATGTAATTGTAAGTATGGTAAGGGCAGGTACTAGTAATTATTTATTATAGTTTGAAAAAAAAAGAAGAAGAAGAGAATCTGTGAAACAGGTGCTTAAGATGATCCTGCTGCCCTGTGTTACAGGATAATTACCTGGTACCAGAAATGACAGGACTATATTTTGACACTACCCTGTGTTACAGGATAAACATCCGGTCCAAGAAATGACAGGGCTATATACATTGTATATATATAAAGAGAGAGAGAGACAACCAGAGGCAGGCAGGATGAGTGAGTGAGTGAATATTGCCACACCTCAGGCAGGCTATCCTGCACAAGGGATCTAGTTACAGTTTCCAGACAGAAAAAAACTGCCAGGATGTGGAGGGATCTGAGAAATCTCTGCAGACAATGGAGACTTCTCTTCTCTTGTACCCAAACTCTCCAGCCTTTTCCATAACAAAGCAACTATAAACTTTTCTGTGCTGATGTGGTGGCAAGGTTCACATACCAGCAGAACACACACATTCTACTTGAGCCAGGATAAGCTGCACAAGGAATTCCTGTGGAGTGTTGTAAGTTTGGGATCAGTATCCTCTTACCAAAGGAAATTCATACAATAACTTTTACAGAGTATAGTGCTGGCTGAATCCATACAGCTGTTATTGTCTTACAAAAAGGCAAGGTAGATATCTAAAAAGGTGTGAACTAATCCAGAACCACACATCTGCTTGGATGTTCAGGCTGTTGCATTTCTAATTCTATAGCAAGATAGCCAGGACAAACACCCTAGTCTCTGTAATAGGTGAAGAAGTGGACCAGGAAACACAACACTACCCACAAAACCAGGAATGCTGCATGTTTGCACAATATTGACAGTTCTGATGGGCATGTAGGTGAAATCATCCTCAGCTGATAGCAGGAGTGGGCGATGAAAAAACAAATCTTCACATTCCTCCTTACACGTGGGGACCAGTCTTAAAACTGGTAAGACATGAAGTAAGAATTGAGATGATGTTATGTCGATCACATCGTCTGCACAGCCTCCACTATTACTGATATTAAGTCCTGTCCAGTTTCAGTCTGCTCCTTGTGTCACTCCTAAAAGCCAGTCAGATAAAATACCCATGTTCAGAAGCCACAGCAGCCTCTTGGTGCCAGAAGGAGGAGACATTTCTAGCTGGATGCCATGTTCTACTGATCTAATTCTTGACTTCTCTATTCTGTTCCATTTGATGCTCCTCTTTCCATTTGACAGGGCAATGGAAAAAATGCTGGATTTTATCACTTACAGCTCTCAGGCTGATTTGCTAGCTCAAAATAAACTACTAGTATTCACAGGATCTGGAACCGCCCCAGGGAGCTTAAGCACCTTCTTCACCTTCTTGGTTTGAGCCACTTTGAAATTGAAATGAAAACTGTGGAATCATAATTTACACAGACATTTATCTTCCAGATGTTTTCTTCATTTATACTGGTCCAGGATTTCCCTGGCACACGCCCATACCAAACTGTACTGTAAACTCTCTAAGTTAACAAAAGATTGGGTGTGGCTTTGAAGCAGTTTCCATCTTTTACTTGAAGGGCCCTTAAATTAACATTTATATGATTAGCAGAAAAATCAAGATAACATTACATTCTACCTGCTGCCTAACCCA